CCCGGAACAGGAAAGCTTTCATGCTAGATGACTACATCACCTGTGTAGGTGTGCTTTAAATGGATGCTATTGGCCACTGACACATAAGTCCAAATGGACTTTCTTGGATTTTTACATACTTAGAGTTTGAAGTTTTCATCTACTATGTAGACATTTTATTGACTGAAACTGTACATCTAATACCTTCTGAAAAATGTAGAAAGAACGTTGGTTTTAACTTCAAATCTAAACCCATCTGTTTAATTTGCATTTTGTCGTGTTTGCTGAGACCGCCTCCCACTCTAATCCAGCTGAATGCAATCTTTGTTAAATATACTAGTAGTGATCATGGAAGGCTTAATAGCTCATTTTGAGTTGTATAAGAAAATTGAATAATTATTTTTCTCCTGCATTTGATTCAGCATTTCCACTGTGAACAAAATAATTTGACCTCACCTTGAGGAAGACAAATAAGAGATTTAACTGAAAATGACAGGTGAACTCTTTTCAGAGTAACTCTTGGACATCTCTGCTATGGAATTGGCTCAATTCACAACCCATTGTGAATTGTGAACTGTTGCACCATTATAAGAAAAAAGGTTGCCAAATGCTCTGGACATAATGAATGTAGAGACAGATGGCACACAATCACCACTGAGTACAACTCACATGTTAACGCATCAGGATTGGACAAAAAGCATGAGTGGACAAACAATTGAAAAGACTAAGTGGAAACAGTTTGATGAGCCTTTGCTGGATTAAGAACAAGTGGTAAATTGCGCTTCTCGCGACTGTAAGTTAACAACAACGAGGTTAAAACATCCATCTCTCCTATTATTGCTGTCTCTTTTCTAAGGCTGGATTTGGAAAATGATGGACTGGAAAGGATCACCCTACTTTCTGGGCTGTGTGCAGAACAGCGTTCGTGTGAAATTGGAAAAAACTCTGCAAGACCACGGCTTGTAAAGAAGATGATGCCTTTGTCTGGTTTCAGTCAGGTAACACCCACACGCTCTTATGTGCACTGTAAGAATGCCAACACGCATATGTTAGGTTGCAAATGAAACATGAGGGACTCATCGAGGTTGTTTGGATTCACACTGCCTGGAGTGGAGTCATTAACGGCTTTTGGCTGCAGTGCATGTGCACCATTCACATTCTTAGCAAACACATTAATATTGCACATCTACATTCACTGCCAAAACATCAATATGGATTTTAAATTAAAGGTTGAGCTGGATACAGACAAAGGAATTTCCAGCCAAGAGCGCCGGGTGACAAATTTAATTTCACAACAACTCCCTATCTTTCACCGCCTCCTCAACTGTTTGCAACAAACAGAAATGCAGAAGAAACCAAATGCACTCCGCAAATTGTTCACCTGCTTTTCTCCAGCTTGCAGAGGCCTGATAACGTGTTCTTTATGTCGTGAAAAGCGTTGATCAGAGCGTTCTGTTTTCTTTTAATCATGAAGCCAACAATTGGCCATTTCTTAAAGAAAATGTGACTCTTTTCACATAATTCGTTAAAAAATAATCTACCAGTGCAGTCCACAGTTGAAATGTTTGAATTTTTTATTCTTTTATCTTTGACTGAAAATTAAATGTTCTTGAATTTGAACTCTAAACAAATTAATCAGGTTGAACCAAACACAGTTGCAAACCAATGACCTCTACCTAAGCTAAATACTAAACTAACAATAGAGAGTTGCTGACACGTGTAAGTGGAAAAGTGTCATCTAGTGGCAATAGAGACTTCTTACAGATCCAGCTCTGGAAGTACAACCGCAGTGTAATGATGAGAATTCCACCCCTTTTAACCTCAGCTTGTTGGGCTTATAGGGTCAAAGCGCTGATGGCATCAAAACTACAGATGGCTAAATATTCTACAAAAATTACTCTAGATTCCTCATCGATATAATCTTGTCACGCTGTTGATCAAAGTTGACCTTACATATACCAAATTAGGGTTAATTGGGTTAATGTGAATGTTGCAGCCAAAAGATGTTCTATCAGAAAAGAGAGTCTTCTGCCAAAGGAGATCTGAGAGGAATCACTGGAGTTCTTTTTTTGGACAAATTCCAACTGGAACTGAGATATTTCTTGGTGGTTGGTCTGAGATTTCCATGCAAAACAAATTATTAGATGCAACCTTTTTTTTTTAGTGAGTTGCCTATAGGTTTTAGAAATGATGACCAGCTCTGTCTCCAAAAACACAATGTATGTATGTATGTGTATATATATATATATATGTATATATATATACACATACATATGTGTTCACATATGTGTGTGTATATGTGTGTACACACTCCTGTGTGTATTTTGTAATCATTCATAAATCATAGAATTTTATTAATTGAAATAAAATATGAAAAATAATTGTGTTCTCAATTTTAGCTTACCAGAAAGCCGTGACATACACACTATTTCCGGAAAATAGAAAAAAAAAAAGATTGAATAAAGGAAAAGCTTCACAGTCCCATGTGATGTCTGTTTTTTTTTAAAAACGCTGTCTGCTGCTAACACTTGATACGCATACTTCAGCGAACAGAGCTGGATAGGTGCAGGGTTAAGGTGTGATCTCTGCCGGTTTCTCGGCTTTGCAAGATGTGTTACTGTTTGTCAGTTTTGCTAACACTGTATATCAATTGATAACACCCAGTTATTTTTTTCTCTTTAAAATAGATATTCTTTTCAAAGTAACGTATATAAGCAAGCCAAATTCTTGTAAGATAGGCTTCCTCTGATGTTGTAATGATACCATAATGTATCATTCCATATGACTGAACTACTGTAGACAAAAACTAAAAGATCTTTTCTGGTTTTGGTAAGTTCAACAAAGACAGCCCTTTATCTTTAGTGGCCCGTCACAGCTCTGCTTTGATTGGTTTAGATGACTGGATGATTTTTTTTCTCTATTAATAAACCCCTCCAACTTTCTAAACATGTCTGTTCAAGGGTGTTAAGAATCCCCACTGCATACTTAAGCTGCTGAAACCAGTGCCTTTTTTAAAATCATAATGAAATATATCTGATTACATGTAGACATAATAAAAAATAAAATTGAAGACTAAACCGTACGTTGGGGTCATGGATCGGCTGCCTGTTCAGGGTGTTACCTGCCTCTCGCCTATTGTCGCTGGGATAAGCTCCATAAACACACATTTAAACACACATCTAAAACACACATTTAAACACACATCTAAAACTCTAACGCAGCATGATCATTGAATTGGTTTCATGATGATCATTTCTGTTTTTCTCCAACCGCAGAGATTGTATTGCGTTGATCTTAACAGACATTCAAAATAGCTTTCTTTTGCAACTGTTTAGTATAATTATTAGCATCTAAGCTGGATATTCACTGCAAATACTTTTAAAGATCTTCTGGTGTTGGATTTTTTTTGTCACTAGTTAGGCTGAATTTACAGTTTAGGGTCACTAGATGTCGCCCTGAGACCGTTTATCCTCCTCAGTGTCTTCGGCAGGAGCTGGCAGAGATTAAAAGGTTTTAGACCCAGCAGTGTCGCTGTGTAGCTTAGCCTACCCCCTACACAGTGCTGGCAGTTCTGACCTTAAAAGCCCCACACAGAGACTGATCAACAGCTGAGGGGAGCCATGTGGCACTGCAACTGTTTCAGCATAGTTTCCCCTTCCTGCCACCCACCACTCACGCTCAGCTGCCGGATACAGGCCGCTTTTCAGCATTCGACGGGGTTCTTTTAGAGAAAATCCTGGATTTGCACTGCACTGTAAATTGTAAGGTCGCTCACTGTTTACAACAAGAATCAGAATATTGGGATACTTTAAAAAAAACAGACGGGGAACTGACTTGCAGCAGTCAAAAATTCCGAGATATCGGATCCAGATTGGCTCTGTTTTTCATTTCCAGTTGTAAGAGTCTGAGTTCAGGGGATTTCCCTTATGGCGGTCCTCATCCTCTGGGCCGTAAATTAAAAGTGTTTGGAGAGATAAAGGGAGCCGTGCCACCTGCAGGGTCATGCACAGCTTTATCAGAGCAGCGCAGAGGTCAGCCGCTGCCCTGCCTGTGCCTGTCCTCTCGCCTAGTTGATATCAAGCCTCATTCGGCGGGCCAAGGCCGCTCTCAGAGCAGCTCTCACAGAGAGAAGAGACGCGCAGCACAGGATATACGTCCATGTCTATTACACCACGGGTCAGACGTGTGTCAGCGCTGCTCTGTGGGCTGTCGTTCTGCTCAGGCTGGACGCCGGTAACCCCCCTGCCTCCCCAGGCTCTCTTTCTCTCCCATGGGGGTTGAGGGTGAGGAGCTGTGAGGAGCTGCGATGCAGGGTATGCAGCTTTTAGGCATCGGCCGCAGTGGTTAGCGCAGACCAGCATATTCTTATGTCACTGGGATTTCAAAGCACATAATCCTTCTTATATAAATGGCTCTTTTTTTTTTCTCCCCACCCCGGATGGGATCCGAAGTATAAGAGATGAAACAGCTGCATCTAAATAAACCCGCCATGAGTCGGTGATGCGTGTTGCATTCAAGAACGCCGCAACTTTCAGCAGCCCGTCTGTGACGAGCTCTGTCACTACGCGGTAGGCGTGCGCACGGGACCCAGTTGTGATGAGTCACACTTCATAGGAATAGCTCATCAAGGCCTGAGTCATTAAATGTTGTCCTACTCTTTCTGTGCATTATGTCAAGCCAGTGTTTTCCCCCTCACAGAATGATGGATAACGAAAGTTGATACACCTCCAGGGGGATCACAGCAAATTCATCTTTGTTCTCATCACGGCTGCATGACTGAAGTCATGGCTGGATAGCTGCTCACATTCATTTTGGCAAATCTTGTACATACAGCTATTTTCTTTAGTTAAACCCATTAAAACTCCCTTTTTCTCCACAAGCGCCAACACTTGCACTGAGTTTTCCTCAGTTAATCCTTATCTAAAGGCACTGTGCACACAGGAAAGCACTCATTACTATACTCTTTAAAACCTACAGAAAAAGGCAAGACTTAAGACTTTCAAGACACAAAATGAAACCAATTTATTAAAAAAAATGTTTATTGACATCAGAAGCAATTTAAATTTCAACAATAAACAAGGCGTTTTTTTGAGTTTTTTGTGATTACAGTGGTACATAAAGATCAGTATAACAACTGTGATACGTCAATTTTGATAACATGTCATTTAAAATAAAAACACACAAGTAAAGAAAAAGAGAAGAAACACTCAAATGTAACTCAATGTTTTTTATGTGCTGTGCACGGCTAGCTAAGGGAAATACTGTAAGCCCACCCCTCTACACTGTACCAGGCAGGATAGTGGTCTAGGAACTACCACTGGGAAGAAAATAAGACTGGCAGAAGGATACAGACACCATACTTGTGTAGTGTTAACTATACAAAAAGGAGGAAAAAAAAAATACTGTACAGCATAAAAACAACCGATATACACAGCCTTTTTGTTGGCATTTTTGTTTTTTTTAATCTTTTTTTTTTTTTACCCCTTTGATACTAATGTATTTTCTTTCAGTAAGTGAAGTGTGTACAAGGGGGTTAAATGCTTTATAAACAAGAATATGACCACTTGCTATCTATTCATCATCATCGTCGTCGTCATCATCCTCTTCCTCCTCCTCATCTTCGTCATCATCATCGTCATCGTCGTCCTTCTTCTCTACCTTGGCCGGAGCTTTTGCCGGTGCACTGCTGCCCGTTTTGCCCTTAGCGCGGTAAGCAGCGATGTCCTGCACGGGAGGAGGAGGACAGCCGGTCAGAGAGTGACCGGTTAGCACGGCCCGACCCGCCCGTGGGCTCCTGCTGACCGCACAGCCTAGCAGGTCGCCAGCTTCTCACCTTCTCGTACTTCTCCTTCAGCTTGGCAGCCTTCTTCTCGTAGGGCTGCTTGTCCTCTGAGGCGGTGCTGTTCCACATCTCTCCCAGCTTCTTGGCGACATCGCCAATTGACAGCCCGGGGCTCTCACCTTTCACCTTAGGGCGGAACTCTGAGCAAAAGATGAAGAAAGCAGATCTGGGGCGGGGGGGAGGAAAAAATGTTTTGTTATTTAAAGATACATTAAGCTTTAAGCTGAGACTTACATTCTTCTAAAAAAGACTTAATCACCAGAGATGAGTACTTACGGGGGTCTCTTGGGGGCATTAGGGTCCTTGTACCTCTTCTTCTTGCCTCCCCTTGCTGGAACATAACTCATCATCTCCCTCTCATAGCGGGCCTTGTCCTGTCTGGCCAAATCCTCAAATTTGCCTTTCTCCTTGGCAGACATTGTCTGAAAGCAAAAAATTAATCTTAATGATGTGTTGCAACATCATATTACACTCTGCGTTATTCGGTTCAATTTGTTCGATTGTATTCAGAAGCGGTGACAGCACCCAAACCCCAAAATTTGGCTACACCAAAAAAAAGGACTGGTATGTTAGGATAGCAGGATTCCCGAGTGTCTTACCTTCCATCGCTCAGAACACTTCTTGGAGAACTCGGCAAAGTTCACCGAAGCTTCTGGGTGCTTCTTCTTATGCTCCTCCCGGCAGGTCTGGACAAAATAGGCGTAGGAAGACATCTTCCCCCTCGGTTTAGTCGGATCTTTCCCCATCTTGATGGCAAAATCTACAGACAAAAGTTTTAAAGTATGATTAAATGTATGCCTGGAAATGCAAAGAACATCCCTAATTGTGAAGGACACTTTCAAAGTGCTTGATAAACATCAATAACTCTTCTCTGAAAGTGGATGACTGGTTTTCAGTTTGAACCATTTAAATGTAAAAAAAGGGAATAAAACATAACTGTTGCGGTATTGATAATGGATGGATGGATGTTTACAGTCCCTACCAATCTGTCAGATTCCATAACACCCAATAAAGGAATCTAATTTACTTCTACTGACCCCAACTAGTGGCAGCAGCACAGAAGTCCGCCGCCCTGCCCTGCCGTCAAACTGTCCAGATTAGTTCACAGCGCTGGACAGCCAGCCCGCTCAGGCCGGACGCAGCAGATGCGATCAAAACGACTTTATTCATCCACGTAATCTGGATGCTGGCCTTTACATAAAGCCCGGCGCTCCGCGGGCTGCTCCCATTACGGTGGCTTAAAAACTGCCTAAACGCGTGACATCAGCCCAAAACAGCCGCAAAATGCCGCTTTATTCGCAGCCGCTCTGCGCTCCCGACACCAAAGCACAAGTTTCCAAAGTTCAGCCGCTCAACGCAAAGCCCAGCCCGCACCGGGCTCCCATCTGTGGAGACGGCTTTAGAAAAAACACCCATTTCTGTCAAAAAACTCCACCGAAAAGAAACAACACCCGTCTCAAAACCTCATTTTCTATGAAAATAGGCCACCAGGATACCCCGATTCCATAACATTTCTGTTTTAATTCAAGAAATGAGTTCGACACAAAAAAGACACAAATTACTCAAAAAAAGACGTATTTATTGAAATTGTGACAGTTAAAAGTGCAATCCTATGCGGTTGCAAAGTCATCCATTCAAAGTAATATTTTTTTTACATTTTGTATATTCTGTGAAAATTTGTTTTTAAATCTATATTTTCTGCCTTATTTTTGCCCATATAACGCTACTGTAAGTCCCGACTAAGCTGCGTCGAACCAAGTAGTAATGGCGCATAGGCTCTCGTTGAGGAAAAGGAGGTCAACAACGACGGCAATATTTCTTCTTCCATTTTGTGAGAATGCCTTCTTCATGAAAGAAAGTCCCCCTCAAATGTCTCCTCCCGCCTCCCAGTTCGCTTTGCAACACGGCTAATATGTCCAGAAAGCCGGCGATCTTGACAAAATATTTCCCCGATTGATTCCTATTGCACTCGCCGGCTTGTATAGTAATACATTGGGTCTGTGCTGTGTCTATGAGCGGGCTGTGCTACTGCCTTGGTTTCTATGAGCTCCTAATGGCCGCTCGTCTTCATCCACTAACATGGAGAATATGGCTCCTTCTCTTTGTGTCAGCGCACAGCCATTGCACTGCATGCAATAGAGGGCAGAGCGACCGCGGCCACTGCTCCATTTCCAGACCCGATTTAAAGCCTTTCCCAACATCGGAAAAATCCCTTCTTGGTGTCGTTCGAATCACGAAAGACCGATCTTTCTTTTGCCGTCGTTACATCTCATAGTTGCGGGTTTGATTCTCGAGAAAAGCCGGTTAGAAAAAGTTGAAGTGAACTGCGCCTCTGTCACTGGCTTCCCATTCGCCTCGCTGCCTTGTTTCCTATGCGAATACAGTCAGCCATTACAGTAAAGCGCAGATCGTGAGGCAATTTTTTTCACTATCTAGTCGGGGGAATTGTGGCAACCGAATATATCTGTCGCATGTTTTTCAGACTGTCTTTCTTTTTCTTCTGTTTGTGTTAATATTAATGTTGAATTTCGGAGCCGCACTCTCCAGTCTTCTCATGACAGACATTCAGCTTCGCAATGGACTGCAATGCCAATGGCTAGCTAACGGTGAGTCTTCTACCATTGTCGCTACCGTGTTGTCCGCTAGACATTCCTGAATTTTTACGCGATAACTGTCAATTGTTTCACTCTCATTTTGTACAAACGACACGACACCAATATACAGAATTTTTCGTATTTGACTAAATCCGCTGTTTTTGTCGAATTTCGTCAAAGTTAATATTCATTTCTCCCTTTTTACAGAGCGTCTGCCCCACACTCCCAGGCAGAGTAATATACTGTTACCTGCTTAGAGCCGGTGATTTATCTGTTATTTTTAACGTTTTATCGCAACAAAATTATTTTCACCCAGTTAAATGTTTTATGTTAATACCTGACAAATGCACATGTAAGATATTTTGGGATGTTATCGTCATTCTCATCATTACCGACACTTCAAATATTCGTGTGTATTATACTTACCTAGTGACTATCGCTGGATCTCAATGCTCTGCAATGGCTGTGTATGAGGGAACACAGGCGATACGCAGTGTCTTCAGCTCTCTTAGCATTACTCGGTGGGGCTCACAGGCCATTGGGCAGCGCCCAGTCTGTCGCTTCTCCGATTGGCCAGAGACTTTTCATTGTCCTAATAGAAGACGATTTCCCATTGGCTGCCTTTTGTGAAACGTCACTGAAGTTTTCTGAGGCGCGTGGATACAAAAACATTTCCGTCCAAGCATGCTGGAGCTGGTAGTAGTGTAGTGTGTTTGCCATAGTATTGAATTCACTACGTTGAACAGAGTGTACAGTAGGCAAGTTAAATGAATGAGGCAACGTGGAGCGCTTGCAGTCTGCGAACGAGGCAGCCGTTTAACATTGTGCGGATGTATTGGAGGGTCTGTAAACCTCCTCATTGACCGACTCCATTGTTGCTTCTTCTCAATGCGCGTGAGCTTAGTAGCAAATTATGACATTGAAAATGCATATTGACTACATCGCGTTTTCACACTTAAAAGGCACAAGAGCCGATGGCACATCCTAAATGGGATAGTTGAGTACCAGATATGTCATTTTAAAGGTTTTCCTCTCTCATTAAGAAACCAGCACAGTAATTCTGTGAATTCTTCTACTAACGGTTTTTTTATGCCACGCTTAAAATTTGTGGTTTATTAGTCTGAGAAAGTCAGTACATTGACTCTACCAGACTGTATTTCATGTTCCCACTAGCAATTTTTATACAAAACATACTTATTTTCAGCTCCTATTACTTTTGGCCATGTTTACCCATGCATTTGTATTCAATTATAAAACAGAGTAGCAGCTTTCAAATAATAAAGTATTTGTTTAATTAGTTCAGAACCAGGAGTTTGCTCACAGAAGGGTTTTGTTGGATATTTATGGCATACACACATACAGTAACTAATTGAAACATTTCAATTTGCTCCTACTCAATTAAGGCAGGGCAGTAGGATCAAAGAGGTACTGTTCAGTAAAGCAGTTCAGACTTGGAAGAAGGGGACCATGACAATCACTTTGACCTTAAGGAAACACCTTTATTTCTGAGAGACAGAGAGTGAGGGGTTTGCTTATGCCCCCCTTTCAGTTTATACTGCTTTGCCAGTTGTCCCGGATGACAAATACAAACCTCTTTGATAGTCAAACAGTGGGCTCCTTTTTTCCTATCCCAAAACACACCACTTTGTACAACCGAGTACAGAGATTATGTTTTGGAGTCTAAAGTGAAGATGTACTCAATTTATTTAAAAAAAAAGCAGCTCAGGAAAATATTAAATAAATAATTAATCTCTTTGGCATTTTCCTCCAGCTTCTTCCCACTGTCCAAAAACATGCATGTTAGGAAAATTTGAGACTCCAAATGGCCCCAGGGAGTGAATGCTAGTGTGTGTGGTTGTTTGTTTATGTGTGGCCCTGCAATGGACTGGTGACCTGTCCAGGGGGTACCTCGCCTCTCAGATAGGATAGCCCCCCCCTCCCTCCCTCCTGTCCTCCTGTTGGGATTAAGCAGTATAGAAAATGGATGGATGAATAACGAATCTGTCACATTATATAACAAAATCGTATTCTGAAGACTCTCAAAACTGTTTTTAAATGAATATTAATTCTATTTTAAATCAATAAAGACTTGTTGTCCAGTTAATTCAATATTCTTATTTTATGTGCAACTTCACTTGGTGATTACACATGTTTCCATGAAAAATGAGATATAAAGTTTGATGCTGCTGATGTGTTGTTTTGCAGTTGAATAATTTGGTTAAAAAAGCCAGTCAAGAGGGGCACTGAGAAGTCATACATTTGTTTTTCTTGACAACGGATGCTGATAATAAAGATTAATTTTGCATCAGTTGTGCTCAGAAACTTTATGATAATGAATGTCAAAATGTATTAATTAATTAATGTTACACAATGTAAGAATAAATCCTTTTCATGCATTTTTGTATTCTAAATGGCAATTTAAACATACATTAAATAAGATTTTTGAAAACCTCATTTTTAAATTAATTAATTAAATTTAGGATTATGGATTTTTAATCCATGTTCATAAAAAGGTACCTGAAGGATGAAAGCTACTTTCTTCTTAAAAAGGTGCAGAATTTTTTTATCTTTGTGGTCTGACTATTTAGCACTTCCACTGGGCAGTAGTTAAAACTAACCCTGCAGGTACATCTCATAAGCAGGTGTCTCCGTAATGTCCGTTTAATGTAACACATGCAAACACAAGCTTTTCCATGCATTTGTAAAAATAAGGCAGTGCTTATGACAAAGTAAGAAATAATGTATAAAGATAATGTGAGGGGCATACATGGGTTGTCTTTAAACTCACATTTTCAAAATAATGACCCAATCATTTCTTAATACTAGGATGAATAAAATACATCTCATCTTATCTTTTTATGTGGCATTAGGTCTAGCACTACCACCATCCAAAGTTGTGGACAGACATAGTGATGAGGATGCTGTGTAATGTCTAGACTCCCTAAAATTTCAATATTGTGATTTCCGTCAATGGAAGGGAGCTTTATTATTAAGTCTGGAGTATTCATTGATTTTGACAACACAATAATGCATTATCACTAAAGGTTTGATATTATATTCCAACTAAGTAATGGGTGGGCATTAACATAAAGAAAGTGTCCGTCGTGACAAGTCATTGCAGTCATTAGCTTAAGCCAAATAATCGTATCATTTGTACTTTAAAATAATCAAATAGCACTATGCTTTGTGAGGAATCCTATTTAGTATCCTTCTTCCAAACAGCTAATATACAAACAAAGAAAAATGGCTAACACAGATTTTATCTATATCCTTAAATCAAGAAAGGAAAGCATGAACTGATTCCTAATGCCAATCACAACTCAGACTCAGGCCACTGTCTGCCTGTGATGCGGCCTGTCTGTGCCTCATTTTGCATCAAGAGATGCCACGGTAGAAAGCTATACCCTGCTCATGTTTATGCATTCCAATGAGCACTCCCTGGGAAAAATATGCAAATTCATTTTGTCATCAAGAGGAAAATAGAGGACAGGAGAGCAGCAGATACAGGAGGGGCTTAATGGAGGAGGGCACAAGCAAGAGGCGGGATTGGGTGGAGGGATGTGTGTGTGATTTTGCACATCTGCTAATGTGCGTTGTGCAGGAGGCATGGGGGGGTTTGAAGGCACTATGGAATTGGGAGGACCATATTAGAAATAGATGGAGGGATATATGTAGATCCAATCCCACCCCCACCCAAGCAACCAACCTTTCTCAAAAATCCATTGTAAGTGATGTATTGAGTCGACAGATACATGATGAATATTAATTCTTATTTACAAAACCGGATAAGCAGTCTAAAACAGGGTGAAGTTTCTATTTATTATCGTACCTATCAAATCTATCTATTATTTAACTTTTGTTTTGTTTTGTGTGAACTCTATTAAATACTATAAATCTATTTTTATAAAGCTACATTATCTATAAATGCAAAATAATGACAAAAATAATAATTCTATTTGAACGTTTTTAACAATATGACTAACATTTGCAAACATTCCCATACAGTATTAAATATTCCAGTCATACAAATTAATATTTTCAAACAAAATAGTATTTTTTTAATAGAAACGTGACAAAAATGAGTCAGCTGTAGTATTATTTACATAATGTTTTCGGAAATAATTCCTACCGTCAATAAATATATCAGATTTTAAAAACACGTGAAACCGGTTAGCACTGGTTTGATGGTACGTGCCGCACTAACACGGAGTGTTAACAGGAACAATAACTTGAGCTCCAGCTCTTGCAGTTCACTTAAACTACCAACTGGGGGACAGCGGAAACATTCTTTCACAGAGGGAAGACTAAAGATGATGCACAAACGGCGGCGGCCGGAAGCAGAACGTTTCTGTTACGAGCCTGTCAGAAGATGCACATGGACCCATACAACCGGCGTGAATAGATAAATTGACGTTTGCATTGATGGGTTTTACTCATAAACGTCGCCCTAACGCTTATTTAACGCGGGTATCGGTAAGTATTGTTTTTTCATTGAAAGTGGTTTAAAAAAAGATTAGTTTGTGGTTGAAATTATTGTCCGACCTTATGCTAATATATTAGCATGCTTGGCGTATAATGGATAAGCTGATAATGTAGTTAAATAAACTTGGTCTGATCAGTTAGTCGTTTAAAAGCAAGGTAGAATACCTTCCAATTGATGATTAGCTCTAAAGTTTAGTGTAATCTTTTCCACTTATTGTGCCTTTTTGATAATTATTGCTTGGTGCTTCTTTGATTTACCTTGAACCGCACAATGCTTACTATGTCTATACTATGCCTCATACACATTTTTTGTATGTTATGACAGTTGAATACATTCAGCCAATTATTAAATATCTGGCCTGGATTTCTCGCTTGTGACCCTACAGAGAAATAATTCCCATGAGGTTTGTTCCAGTTCATTTTAAGGCAGCCTGGGTTATTTCCAGTATAACGTTAGCAAAAACCGCTATCTTGAAGGATTGCTGCTATATGACGTATACGACTGTCATCCAGGACAGCTGTAAGTAGCTTGAATGCAGTCTAGAATGAATTATTGAAATGAGGGAAAGCATGAATGAGAATCATAAGTAAGACTGCTAAGTGTTTATGGCCTGATACCTAATCACACAGAATTCAGAAAAAGAGTAGAAGAAAATAATCTTATGCTGTTAGTTGTACAAAAATGCTTTTGCGGTTGAAATTCATTCAATGACATGAAATTTGTTGATGTGTATATCCCAAATGTATTTCCTTCCCGTCACCTTTTCAGGAGGTGAGCCTCGTTGCGTTGATATGGTAATATTTTCTGAATGGCATCGGACCGCCTTGGACCTGAAGACCAGCAGCTGCATGCCGATGACTGGTGAAGACACTGGTTTGGGGGCTTTGGCCTCACCGCTGGCGGGGTATTTGGGAAAAGTCAGTGGAGCTTTAGCTTCCTCTCCTTGTTGTCACTTGCGCAAAGCTGAATTTTGTTTGAAAAAACTACTGCTGTTGGGCAGTACCAACCCAAATTGAACAACAAACATTAAAGGAAATCTTTGTAAAAGGCGAAAGTACTTTGATTTGTTTAAACTGTATCAAGAATAAAAGATTGTAATTAACAACTTTTTTTGTTTCACAGGTGTGTTATGCCATAACTGCTAAGATGTAAAGTTTTCCTGTATGCTTCACTTCATCAATCAAAATCAAGTCCAACCTGAATGTCAAATTGCCATTTGTAAATGTCAAACATTAGATTTTTTTTTGTTCATCTCCAAGTTCCTTTTTGACTTCCTGATATCTTAAGTTTATCTGTAATATTGTAATATCATCTTATTTGTTATGCTTTCAAGACAAATTCAAACTAAGTTTTGCCACGTGCTTTCCAAAGGTTCAGGGAAGAGCTGCTTCACTGGAGTATTGTCCTTGGTGCGCTTCAAAGGGCTTTTCTTATGCTCTGCGCTCCTACCGTATCAACCTGCAGGAGTCTATCACCCTCTGCACAAACCCGCTGGTAAGTCTCAGTCTTATTGTCAAGAACTAAAACATTTTTTTTCCATAATTACTGTTAACTTGCCTGTTTTCATGCCCACACAGTGCCTTTTCCCGCTGGTCACCCGCCCCTTGGAGGATGTCTTGGCTAGCTTGGATCCGGTGGAGCCCACTGCGGGAAACAAAAGAAAAATGTCCTCCGTACTGGAAACGGGAGAGCTGATTAAACCGCCGCTCAAATCCCTGCGATTAAGTGAAGATGAGGCTCCAGAGCCCGTCTGCCCAGCGGAGCGCGGCGCAGTGACCCTCACAGCCCCTGAGCCTGGAGGGGAAAAGGCTAACGGATACCACAGCACCTCGCCGCACGCAGAGACGACAGGATGGACGTCGCTGCAAGATGAGGATGTTGTCCAGCAGACGCCGTCAGACAGGGCTGCTGGTACAGCTGACCTTGCCCCGCCCACACGCTCCTCGCCAGTCGGGAACTTGTTGGGAGTTTTGTTAGCGACCGATGAAGAGGAGCCCGCCCCCTCACCTGGTCTGTCGGAGACTGACCTCCCACAGAGGAACAGCACAGAAACAATCAAGCAAACCGTGGACAAATCACAGACCGCAGCCATCATGTGTAAAACCACAGACGACGTTAAGCCGGGGAGCCAGGATCTGTCCCGCGTCTCATCAGGAGAGCCGGAGGCGCTGGAATCTGTCCCCGAGCATCTGTTCTGGAGCAACACGCACAACCTGTGCTGGCTGGACTCCACGCTCGCCGTTTTGGTGAGCTGCAAGAGCCTAAAGCGTAAGCCTAACGATGAGCCCCAGCGCTCGCCTGTGTGGCAGCTGATTAAAGGACATGAAGACATTTGTGCTGCCGTCCAGGAGCACAAACGCACAGGCAGGGGTAAGTTAACAAGATGAGGCTCTGGGGGAGTCTGAGAGGATTTGAAAACTGTCAGTCATCTCAGATATTATCCTCTTTAGTGTTGTTTTAACAGTAGCAATGATGAAATCCTTTATTTATTAATTATATTTATGACTAATATACATTTGGAATGTCTGTTGTGTAAACATGGGGAGATGCGCACACATGTGAAAAGTTCTTTAGGTTTTCAGGGCTTCTCTGCTATAACTTTAACTATTTTTTTATCATTTAGAAATTAATATAATAGATTCATTTTTAAATGAATATAAATTAAATGAGTAAACGGGTAAATCGGTTTACGTGGAGGAAAACGGCTTTCGTTGTTTGTGTTTTGACTGAACTGAGGTTGTCTCTGACTCAGATGGAGTTACACGGGTACCGAGTCATGTGCTGCAGCAGGCCAACCTCGACCTGCAGACTCTCAGGATGTCGGCCTTCCAACTACTGCAGCCCAAACTGCACTGCAAGCTTGGTACGCTCGTTTTGTGCTTTGTGTTTTCAGCATATCCAGAGTACATTCCCAAATTAAACCCCTTGCCAGGAAATACCCCGTACCCTTCTGTTGTTCTTTTTCTGCCCTCTTTCTCAGCTCGGCACAGAATTTAAGAGGGCAGCAGAAGCATAATTTCACAGTTTGTGGTTCCCTCCCCACTGTAAAAACACTGGTCTTATTCATAGTGTGAAATGTTGATTAAACAAAAACAGTGCTCAAGAACAATATGAAGAAAGTGCCAAGTGACCAAGAGTAAGTAACACAACACAGGAGTGCCAAAAGGGGTTCCATTGAGCTGTCAATTCTGGAAAATTCATATTTATAAACTTCTACAAAGCTTTTACCCACAATTTAGGCACAGAAAGGTGCATATAAACGAGCAGTTGGCCATGTTGCAGGAAATGCATGTTTTCTGCGCAGCATTACTCCATTTAAGATCGAAGTCTTTAGACTTTGATAAACATTTTTCATTCCTGTTCTTGTTGGCTTTCCACTTGCATGCATGCAATGAGTGACGGTGTTTGTATTTTCAAACCTGAGCCCTCGAGCAGCCATTATCACCTTCAAAACATCACTAAGGGGCCAGTTTAGGCTTGCCAACTGGGGATTTTGATCTTTTAATTGCATCCAAGTCTTTCTTCAAAGGGAAATGCTGTAACCTGTGTCTGTTTATGCACGCGCAGGTCAAAGGGAGACTCCAGTGTTCGCCCTGCCGCTGCTGCTCTCAATGGACCCGTGGCTGGAGCGTCTCTTCCAGCTGACTTTTCAGTGGGAATTCAAGTGCACCAAATGCAAAGTCACCACAAGAGAAAAGTAGGGGATGATTTCATTCATCTTTTAATGTATAGGTAAAAAAAAAAAACCCTGGTGTAATCCATGTCTGCTGTGTGAACTTTGTTGAAAGGTGCTTTTCACTTGGTTGGCTTGGCAGGAAAGAGGCAAAAAGCACAAATTATGAGTTTGTAATAGTTTGTAAGCTGATTTCAGGCTGCACTGCCACAGAGTAGAGATGCAGGAATGAAGCGTAGAACACCAGCGGCTTCTATTAACTTACTTTTTTTTTCAAATGTTAGCTAAATCCTGGACTAAATCCACAAGCCACTGAATAATTAACTGTTAACTCATCTCTAATAATGGCTTCAAATCCCAAAGTTTTTTTTTCTGTTTTCAGTTGCATAACACAAACCCGTCAGCTAAAGTGATTTAACAAGTTCACCTGGAGGGGGTATAGCACAAATCCTGCAGCTTTTCTGCAGAAGTCTAACCCCCCCTTCTCTCTGTTTCAGCGTTACAAAGATTCTCCCCACCTTCACAAATATTGTGCCTGACTGGCAGCCTCTGCATGCTGTTCATTTTGGGCCCTGCAACATGTGCAGCAAGAAGAATCAGAGGAGGACCATGCTGTTGGACAGGTAAGGACTGCTTCACTTCAGAGCTTTTATCTAAATGCTGAGAGCTAGTGACACTTAGAGCAAATGTCCACACACGAAGATGATCAGCCTGCCTCAGAATGCATCCTCCTCCACACTCTGTGGAGTTTCACTCTGTAATCCAGGTCTGCAGTGGGAACTGTCAAATTGAGATCAAATTCAGTCTGCACTTTGTTGCTTTTCTTTGCAACCACTTGTTTTGAATATATGCTTCTTCTTTTTTTTTGTACGCATATTCTCCAAATTTAAAAGACCGCTTGCCATTCTTTTTATTGTTTCCACCAACAACTCTATTGTTGGGGCCCCTCCGGCTAATCTGCAACATGTAACGACTGTAAAAGCACTCTTTAATTTGAATAGCTGTTTATTTTTTCATGTTTGAACCTGTGCAGATATTTGTTTTACTCATGAAAATTACCTGATGATCTCCCTGGATCTTGAATACAGGCTAAACGGAGGATGTGGTTGGACGGGAGTGAACCGGTGTAGTTTTGGCTGAATAAGACTGAGTGCTTCCATCAAATATGAATGGAATGCTCTGATTGGGTATGTTTGTTTCCTCCTTTAAACTGGTGTGTTTGCTCCGTGCTTTTGCTCAGGGTTCCTGCAGTGTTCGCGCTGCATTTTGTGGAGGGGCTTCCTGACAACGATGTCAGCATGTACGCCTTCGACTTCAAAGGGAAACACTACGCCGTCAGCGCCGTCATACAGTACCGAAAACAACTGAGGCACTTCTCGCTCTGGCTTTCTAATGGAGACGGTGGGTGTTCTGCCACTTACTCCTTCTGGCTTGCTAACAGCCGGTTTAGCCGAACTCGTGACAAACTAATGCTTAAGATAACACGGTGATTCATTTACCAGACGGTAGGTGTTTGTCTATTATGTCTTGTCTGTTAATGTTTCGTTTTCGGGTGCTTGTATGCTTCACGATGTCCCCGTTGTGCGAGAGTCTTATCATGTTGGACGATGCCACTCAACCTTACGTTTTGCTATATCACATTGTGTCGCACCAACAGCACATTCTGCTGGACAGCCTGTGAAGTAAAAACACAATGAACTATTTCTGGCTTGCTTTATCATGCAGAGATGATATAGGTGAGATCTTAGGTGTCAGATTTGTTCTCGTGCTCACGGCGCTGTTTTACTCCCGTATTTTTGGCGTGTCTGACATTGGGTCATCAGAGTGGAACGACTCGTTTTTTCCTCGGTGTTTCTGGTTGTAACCGTCTGTGGTCGTGCTTGCTTCCTCAGGTTCGTGGCTGGAATATGACGACCTACAACACCCGTACTGCAAGACCCATCCAGGGCTTGAGCTCCCAGCTGATGAGATGCATGTCGTCTTCTGGGAGGAAGAGGAGTCTGAGCCCTCTGCCTGCTCTCCCTCCACTACTTTTGTTGAGTCCCCCCCTCTTGAAAAGCAGGGTGTCCGCAGTTTAGGGGACAGAGCAGGAGAACCTTTGGCTCCGGGTTTAGATGGGTCCCTGCTGATGACTCACGAGGACACAGACATCGTCTGTGCGTTCTCGGAGGAGGACACGGCGCTCACAGCCGGCGTGGACACGTCGATAGGGGCCACGACGCTGCTCGACACCTTTGAAGGCCTCAGTCCCAATGACATCATCACACTCACTCTAGTAGAACTGAACGCAGATTGTGACACGCCCGCTCTGCCAGAGGACCAGCAAACTCAGGACCAGCGTCCCTCCACGAGGGCGGACCAGGCGAGCGCCGCCCCCGATGGCCCCGCCCCCGATGGCCCCGCCCCCGATGGCCCCGCCCCCGCCGCAGGGAGTCACGCAGGTCCCCCAGATCCCGCCCCGCCTCCCGCCACCCCCAGCTCATCAGACACACACCCAAAGGAGAACTCCTCCGGTGGTCCGGCGTGTGTGCCCGCCGCCGCCAGCGGGCGTGGGAAAGGACGGGGTCCAGGGAAGGCGGTCCGTAGGCCGCGAGGTAAAAAGGCGGCCTCATCAAAAGCGGCTTCACGCGCCTCGCCGCCCACGCGCTCCGAGCCCTCTGAAGCAGCCGCCGACAAATCTGCCGGGAAGGACAACGTGCCCCCCGCCGCCGCCACGCAGCCGGCCTCCCCCGTGTCTTCCAGCAACACCTCACCACTGTCCAGCAGCCAGACAGGCCCCGCCCAGGAAACCCCGGTCAGCCAGGACACTCACTGGAGTTTCCGGCTGAGCAGACACCCGCTCGGCCAAGGCCAGAGGTCCCTCCCCAGTGTGGCACCCACCCACAGACCGCCCCCAAACGCCCAAACGAAGTCCCCCGACCCCGTTCACTCCACCCCCAACCTCGTGAGAAGGCCGCCGCTAGCTGTGGGACTGCCCAGTCCTCAGCTCAGCACGGATGAGAGCGGCGGCTTCCCGCCCAAAGCTGCAGAAATGTACGGAGGCTTTGCTACCAAGAGCGCACCCACCCCGGGTCTGCCGCTGCCCCCTGCCCCCCCCAGAGCCAAATCAAAAGAGTTTCACTCCATGCCTTCCAACCACCAAACACACACCACAGTCATCTCAACTACGTCTCCCCCAGCAACTGGGGCTAAGCAGGGCTCTGAAATCCTCTCATCAATGAAACACAGCAGCCAGTCCTCCAAAGCGCTCCCAGGTCCCGGTGACACTGAAGCCCTCAGGTACAAACTCATAAAGAAACTAAAAGCTAAGAAGAAGAAGCTTGCAAAGCTAAACAACCTACTGGGTTGCAAGGGGGACGCGAGTGTCCAATCAAACGGCGCCAGCCAGAGCTCTCCTGGAACTGTGACCTCCAGCACTTACGACGGCTCCACCTGTGACGACTTCCTCTCCGACCTGCTCTCGCCAACAACAACCACAGCCAGCAGCCTGTCTCCAGACAGCACCGACTTCCTGGAGATGCTCACCAGCGGGCAAGACGGAGTTGACCGGTTTGACTGCAGGGTCCCTGCTGCTGGTTCCGCGTCCCAAAATAACTCTGGTGCAGACAGACCCAACACCGAAAACTTCCTCGAAGAGTTTTTCTCACAGTGCTTTGAAAGCAGCTGACACGTAATGGCGTATATTAACTTTCAGAAGCTGGGGATGTAGTCTGCAGCCTTATGAACACAAGTGGACTTCAGAAAAAGCCATCTGCACCTTACCTTTGTTCTTCGGTATATTATCTTGCTGTTAAATCGGGTATGTAGAGGTTTGACAGCATGATGATGGTTAAGCTACTCGGTTTTCCATTGATTCTTTTGTTTTTCATTAAGCACTTTATTTATAGCTACTGTAAGCAACTGTCTTTTTCAAAAATGCCGTTTACAGTCCAAACTGTCTAACTTGAAACAACATGTTTTACTCATTCATTAAACATTTTTAAAGAATTGCATTTGTTGTATATAGTTCTTACAATTACATCAACAAGAAAAGAAAAACTGAGACTAGCATGGGGGGGGGGTAGTATTGGTAGTTAGTCTGCTTTATTAGTCAATGTGAAGATAAATCTTAAAAATGAGTTCCTATTCCTTATTTCTAATACTAAACAAAGTGAATATATTTTATTTTCACTGATCAATAAGTGGATTAGTACTGATACCCATCTGAAACATTGTAATTAGAAAGCAAATATATTTTCTCCATTCTTCAGTCAATCAACATGTCAAACCGTAAGTGTGTGTGCATAAATATAGGTAGAGATATAGATACAAATACACACACATAAATACATACAAGCAATCCCTGCCTTTAATTCTCCACCGGGGTAAAACAGTGACGTTCCCATACCGGGAGTCGAACCCGGGCCGCCTGGGTGAAAACCAGGAATCCTAACCGCTAGACCATATGGGACTGATGTTTAGAAGGGAAGACATAGCGCAATACGTACCTGATACTACCCACAACACATGTATTTGACATTTATTTTACTCTGACAGTGTTTGGTCACTCGCTATTTTCTTACGGTGGTTATTGAACCTTTAGTGGATATGTTAACTGCAGCTGTGATGAATGACTGCATGTGTTTGTTAACTACGTGTCAAATTCAACTGATGAAGTCTTTTACTGATGAAGTCTTGTTTGATAGTTTCTTTAACTAGCAAATGCTTATTTTGTTTTTGTTTTTTTAAAGAGAGATCTGCATGTTGATTCGTTTGGTGAAACTAATTTACTTATCTTCGTATAGTCGCTAGATATGTCTATCATAACCGGCCTCTACAGTTGATAGCCTTTTGTTATCAATAAGTGTACCAGATTACTAGTGACTGTTGTTGATAATGAATAACGGAACACCAGGAAGGTATTTTATGTGGAGGGTTCATCCAACATTAAGATAAAACAATAGAGCTGCATTACCAGTCAATGGGCACATGTTGGTGCTGTTTTACTAAAAATCCCATAAGGCCTGTGAGTTCTTTTTGCAGGCACCTTTTAATGAGCGCAAGTAATGTCAACGAGTTTTACACATGGACGGCTGGGTGAGGATTAGTTTTTCCTACACAAGATTATAGATCATGATCAAACCAGGTATTGTTCCACATTCAGCCTGTAAATACCACAAGCAGAGAGCATCCAGGCAAAACTTGTACATGTGGTGGAATTTTTGCATTGTGTGGTTTAATCAATTTGACTGTTGTGTGGAAAAAAAAGAAAGAATCTCTCTGCTGTTTGTGTGCAATCTGGAGAGCCAAAATACAGGGAGGAAGTTGCACCCATCTTCTTTGCAGCCCTCTGTATTAAGTCAGAGCACCATTTACATAAAGAGGAAGCGGAAAACTATACATGCTTGTTGGATGGAGGTAGGACAGGGCGTATATGTTTCCACAGAGACGGATATCAACTTTGTGATCTGCATCTGACTTTGGTTGTGTCTGTATGTGATAAAGAGGCTTTGCTTCCCTTTGGCTCAGCATCCAACTGCTCTCACCGCTGGCACGACAGTCATGGAAACCTGCAAAGTGGTAGAAAACATATACCTCCTGGTGGTCGTCACTCTCATCAGCGTTCTTCAGAATGGTGAGACAAACCAATACTAGAGCATTCTCAACTCCTCATAAATGATCCGGTCATTGCTTTTTGAATGAATCTTTATTGGTGTTTTCAGTTTTCTTCGCTCAGAAGGTAGAGAGGGAATGCAAATGCAAAAACATCCACATGGCTGCGTTTGAGAGAGTGTCTTGTGCCAAGTAAGTACCCACTTTTTAAAAGTTATCTAATGAACTGTTTAAAGGAGTGAAAGAGGAGCATCAAAAAAAATTTACCTTTGAGATTTTTTGTTTAATTTGTTTTGGGAATATTTCAGCAAATTCAAAGCCCACGGAGAGGCTGTCCTCATTTACCTTAACACTAATAAGGGGAAATTCTGGTAGAGAGCTTGATTAAAAGAACAGAAAATAAACATGTTGTCTCAGCATCTCAGAACCCCTCATTAAGTGAGTGGAGAGAAAAAAAAAACACGCCCATTTGCAGAATGCTAAGAAAAAAAAATCTCCCATTACATCTGAAACTGTAAGAAAAAAGAAATATATATATTTTAGCTGTAGCACAGGACATAGCTTATAGAATATACACTGATTATTGACTACTGTAGTACATTAAATAACTTTTCAGACAATATTCGAGATCTGATAAGAAAAAGAATGAAACTGATGAAACAGAGCAGTTCATAGTGCCTTAGATATAAGAAATAATAATGCAGTATCCTATTCATCCTGCATAAGCCCCACTTTTTGTATTAGTTTTCTTCACTGTGTTGGTCCACAGGAGGCTACATTGTTCCTGTTTTAGAACAGAGAAGGCCTGAGCTACATCCTGTCTCCCAAGCATGATTACAAAAAACAATTTACAAGCATTACCCAGTAAAGAGTGTTGCAAACGTCTGAGGACAGTTCAGAATGTTGGCGTGGGTCGGACCAGGAAATGCTCAGACCTTGTTTGTCGCCTAGTTTACCATTTGAAAATGGCTTTCCAGTTCATTTGTTTATTTCACCGTCACCTCTATGCAAAACACCCCCATAAAAACAGAAAAAGATGACTGGCGTTCAGTTACGGTATTCAAAGGTAGGCCAGTGGGAATGTTTCCACTAGCCTGCCCACTATTGTGTTTGGATCTTGCTGTTTCCCAGCAGTCGCACCTATGGTTTTGTGTGCAGTGCTTTGCATGACTTCATTTAATTCTAATGTAAACCTTTGCCTTTGTTCAAGTGTTTGTTCAAGGCAAAGGCCCAAAAAAACGTTTTGATACTGGATTGCTCATATTTAGATAAAACAAAGATAGCTCTGAATGTTGTTTGACGCCTTACAAAGTTTCGTTCCTTAAAAAAAAAAAAGACAAACCCTGTATTGGGACAAATGTCTCTTTATGACAAAGCTCCAACCTTTGTGGTAATACTTTTACTTCTTTATTGTTTGGTTGGTTGCTTTAAAAAAAAAGAAAAAAAAAAGCAGATAATTCCCTGAGCCCAAGCAGAGCCTTCGATCGCGTGATGTGTACGTATGACTTGAGTGGGCTGAAAAGGTTTGGCAGGACTTGGCTTTGTCTAACATGCTGTCCTGATTATTTCAGTTCTCTGCAACAGCCAGCGTCTGCTGACACAGGGAGTGGGCTCACTTTTTCCTGGCTCCTCTTTTCTTGGTTTTTGTTGCTCATGTACTTTTGTTCCTTGGCATTTTCCATTTGTTTTTCCTTTTTGCATTTTGAGGCCCTTCTGCTGTGAAGCTGTTGAAGGGTCCTTAAAGCCGCACAGACCTGCAACCTGTCTCCCATTGCGACAGTCTGGTTTCCTGTGATTTTCTTTAGCTGTGTGTCAATGACGGCCGTTCCTCACTTTCAGCCGCAACTGCATGGACGCTTATCCGACTTTCCTGGCTGTGATGTGGTGTGCCGGGCTTTGCCTCAATCAAGGTAATCATTAATAGAAAGGCCACACTGATTAACTCTTATCACACCATGATGAGTAATCTGACCTCAGGATACTGCTTCACCTGTTCCCGTAAGAGAGGCTGCAAGTTCACACAACAACGAGATAAATATTTCCATTGTGCTGGCTCCAGCCACAGCTGTGTTCCTTTTGGCCTCAGCGATGACCGCTCAACACATCAAAAGCACATCAAAATTACCATTGCAACTCCCTGATGTTGTGTTTTGGAAAAAGATGGTATTAACTGATGGGATTCAGTGTGAAAAACACATGTGCTATCACATCACGTGTCACGTTTCCTTTGGGCACTTAACCTTTCATTTAGTGCACTTCAAGAGCAGCAGTCAAGATAATATTTGTTTAACCTCTATATGTTTTTTTTATGTCAGCCGACTTCGTTTCCCTAATCAATCTAAAGCGTGGTCATTATTTTCCCCCTGTGATTTAACTGAATTCCACTCCTTAGGTTTTTGTGCACCATCATTCACTAGGCAGTTTTATTAAGATATGATACATTTATATATAAAATTTATAATATCTGATAAATAATGTTTCAAATATCTCAAAGCTGAATTTGATGTAACCGCCCTTTTTATCCCTATTCCCTTCTGTCCTGTGAAGCCCCTGCAGCCTTTGCGGGGATCATCTACCTTCTGGTCAGGCAGAAGTACTTTATTGGATACCTGGGACACAGCTCTCAAAGGTAATCCACCTGAAGTAATTCATCTATTAATCTATTTAAAATCAGAGTCTGATTAGACTAAGATTATTTTTCTCTTTCTTCTACGTAGCACCCCAGGTTACCTATTTGGAAAACGCATCATCAGCTTCTTGTTCCTGATGTCCTCTGTGGGCATCTTTAACTACCTGCTGGTACGCTACTACGGCAGTGACTACAAAGAATACGTAGAAACCATCACCGGTGCTGCGTCTGCTCTTCTGCTGCTCCCCTAGTCCGCCGGGCCTCGCAGAACGAACCCAGTACAAGCAGTTATTTGAAAAAGTTTGGTACTTATTTCCTTTTTTTAATGTAAAAGACTTTATTGGGTTTCAGTAAACAAACATTCTTAATTTGAACATTGAGTAAAAAAGATACAAATTCTGTCAAGGTAGCATTATTCTCATGTCCTGTAACTCCTGAATAGCTCAAAATCATGTGACAAAATTCAAATGGACAAGATTTCTGTTATTAAACTTAATCATGATGCTCCCCAGAATTCCCTCGTGGATCCTTTTCATTGGTTTTCGCCCCCTGAAGAGTAGATAAATCTGGTCCGGACAGCTCATGGAGCAAAGTCCCAACAGCCCCCAAATATTGGAGTAGTTCTTCGTCTGCAAGCATGCCTTTAAAGCCAGCATCCGTCTGGCAGAAAACCATCGTTTCCAGTTTTCTTGAGGATGCAGTGACAGGCATGACTAAAAACCGAGCAGCTAAGCTCAACTCTGCCTTCGTCTTCTTCTTCATTCACAGCTGGTTCATGTCAGTTTCAGCTGTAAAGGTAAAAACCACATCATGAGCCAAAAGCCTAGCAACACACGTAAAAAGAGCAGCAGGTTGTTCCAATTCTAAAACGAGTGATAACGACTGATAACTTGCCTTAAATGTTCTCTTACTGAAGCCAAACCAGTGTGGGAAGTCAAAGAGGGCGTCAGAGTAGTACTTGAGGGTGAAGGAGGCGTCCCTCCATACGGGTTTGACCGTGTTCCGGTCCTCAGCTGCCGCGCTCCGAGGAGCAAAGCTCTCCAGAGCTTCAGTCAAGTCGATCTGCAACGAGAAAAGCAGCCCTCCTTCAAACCACAGCGCAGACAGAACCCCCCCCAGAACAACATGAGCCACAGAGCGCTGCTCACATCCAGCCGGTAGCTCTCTCCAGCCACAGAAGAGATGCTCCAGTCCAGGCCTTTCTCCATCTGCCACCCGATGAGAGGGTCGCCGCCATCCACCGACACCACGTACTCCCGCAGCCCTGAAACAAACACCGGAGCCTCATTTGGCGAGGACGAGGAAGGAAAAAGAGGCAGAGGGAGCGTTCCCATGTGACCTCAGCATGGCACGGCCATGGTAATGTGCCAGTCCACACCCTAAAAGTGGCCCGAGTCTGAAAACAAGCGTGAGTCACCTCTGTGGCCGAACTAAAGCCCACACACACTACTCTGAGAGGAGGAATCCGCAGAGCTGGCTGGGTGAGTAGTTTTGTCCCCAGTGTGGAGAAAAATAAAAATACACCCAGACACCTCTTAATGTTTGGGGGTGGGGGGCACTCGCGCGCGCACACACACACACATGCACATACACACCTCTGACATCCCCAGCTGCCTTCTTTCTGCTCTCCGAGAGTTTTTCCTCGCAGACAGATGCCAGTAGGTAGATTCTCTTGGACAGCAGGCTCTTCCGCAGGTTGGTATAGTCCCTCAAGTTGTGCACTTTAACTTCTCTGTCATAAAAAAAAGGGAAAACACGTGGGGAAAACACCTGTTTAGATGTGGACATGCATGTACTTAAATATGAGCGCGTGCGCGTGTGGATGTCACTCACCTTCCCAGGGACTTTTGCAGAACTATATCCCCCTTACACGACTGGAAGTTGTCGATGAGAACCAGGTTCCGCTCATCGTCGCTGCACACTCGGTAACCCGAAGAGAGAGCTTTCACGGAGAAACCCTGCGGAGGGTTTCTCAGAAACTCGCCTAACTCCGTCACAGTCATCCGCCCGCTGCTGTTTTTCATCGTTTCGCCTTTCCGTTGGTCGACTCTCGTCGCTTACCCACTGACATGTAACTGGTCAATCTGCCGCTGAGCGCTTATAAATCTCGAGTAAAGTTAAATATGTTGTAGATGGCAACTTCCGGGTTCTTTCGGTCAAAATAAAACGCCACCAAGACGCGTGAGGCCGTGCTTCGGTGTTTTTGAATCCGGTGAGTAATACATTAGCCTATTGATTTACTTTGTTTTGTTTTTTTATTGTAAATTGATATACGCCTACCAGTTTTTTGGTCAAGCGTCTTGGTAATTCTAATATTTTATAAATACCCAGCTTAAGCTTCAGCGGAGAATGTTTTCTTTTTTCAGTAGATGTAAAATGTCATGATTGTGGCATGCTAGATGACGCCTTTCAAAGTTTCGTTCCTTTAAAAAAAAAAAAAGACAAACCCTGTATTGTGGCAAATAATCTATCTGTATGACAACGCTACAACCGTTTGTGGTACTACATTTATTTTGAAACCCAACGCAGCTGCTTCCTGTTTCAGTACACTTGTGTTTGGTACTGGATTTATAAAGCGTTACGATTGCCTATCACATGAATTGCTCAACACGGCTGGATCAAGAGGGTTAGTCTGCTGCCATTGGGAGAAAAAAAAAACTACACAAAAAACAAAACAAAATCCCGCAAGAGACTCATGAGACGTTTAATTTCTGCCTACCCCTCTTACACATCGTGATAAAGGGATGCCAAACTAAACCTTGTTAAGACTGATGAAACGCCAAATTGTCGAGGCAGCTTTTTGGGCCACTGTGTTGGGGAGACTTTATATTATGTTTCCACAAGTCTGCATGGATAGCATGGAATAGTAAAGATAATAAATAAGGGAAATGGAGAGAGAATTAATAGTTTCAGCCTTTTTTTTACTCCAAGTTGAGGGATAGTAAGATTTTCTCATTGTCCTTTGCCAGAAGAAAATGTTTTTTTTTTTAAGTAAAGAAAATGATTATAAAAAATACTAATAATAATCCTAAATCTTCTAATTTTTCCAATGAGATTTGAGCTGAGGTTGAGCTCAGCCTGCTGTGTCGGCCTGTGTCCGCCAGAGGGCGCTGCAGCTCCTCCCGGGTCTCGGCGCAGGAAGCGGCCGCTCTGTCAGCAGCCCACCGGCTCCAGTCCGGGAGTCATGTCTGGCCATGTTTTCGTCAACACATGCAAACTGGTCGCGGTGCTTTTAAGCTGTCTCGGTAAGTGGCGCCGACTCACCCCCAGCCTGCGTTAGCTCCCCCGCTAATCCGGGGCGGAGGCGGGGCTCGTCACCGGGGCCAGCGGCCGGAAGTGTCCCCCGCTCCGGGCTGCAGAGGGCTGGACCGTGCAGAGGTTCCCGTGTTAGAATGATCCGGAGCCGGGCAATTTATTTTATCACAGTGGTGATACAGAGTGGAGTACCAGGGGTTAGTGTTTATTTTTAGGATGAAACGAAAAAAATTGAAAAAAAACATACTTTTAAGGTTAAAACACAAGGCTGGTTTCATACATCTTGATTTGCACTTGACCCACATTTGAAAAAAAAAAAAAAAAGATATCTACTGATAAAATGACTGGTTTATTTATATATTTTTTTTCTAAAGCAGTTGTATGTCAGTCACCTTGTTTGTGTTGTTTTCACTTTTGATGGTTTATTAGATAGAGTCTATCTGATAGACCATCCACACTGTGTGGATGCTTATATTGATATTAAACTAATATTCCTTACGGTTTCAAAAACTTCCTTAGTTGAATGGGTTATGGACACTTCCTTACGTTGATATGTTTATGTTGTTAGTAACCAACAAAAAGTTTTTCCAGAACTTGCCAACACCAGTCAGTGGCAGAAACAGTTTACTACTCTGTTGTCTCAATCTCACATTTGGATTTTGATCAGTGAGTACTTTGGTCCACAAAAATCTTAGTAAAACGATGATAGAGCTACTACTAATTTTTTAGACTACAACATGATTTTGTGAAAGTTTGAAATCTTGTATTTATATTTTGTTATTTATGTATTTATGATTTATGACTGTGGATTAAATAGTAGTTCATTTCTTGTTAATTGCCCTACCTCTGATGTCTTGCCAAGTATTTACAACCCTGCACGAGTGTCCACTTTATGCTGAGGCACTGTCTCAAAAAGATAGTGATAAAGCTTAGCCTTGAATGTGCCACTGGGTCACTGATTGGTTGAAATGATCAGACGGTGACCTGTATCTGTTCAGCTACATATCTGATTGTGTTGATAATGACACTGTCCTCTGCTGCTGCATCGAGGCCCGTCCACTGGAGATCATGACCAACACGCGGGCCGTGTTTCTGTGAGTGTTGCTCAGTTTGTTTTGCAGTGATTGTCTTCTTTCATGAGGCTCAGCTGTGCCAGACCTAATGAGAATCACTGCTGCTCCCCGCAGGAGGCAGAGCCCCAGCTGCACAGACCCGTGGGTGAGTGAGGCATTTAGTGTGAGGTGATCGTGGTTGTATCTATCTATGGAGCCGAGAAGCTCATCAGCCCTACATCTGTAAGGTCAACCTGCATCCGCACATACCGTCCAGCTGGGGTTGTTCAATTTAAATTGAAACTAGGGAAACAGAGTGCTTGGATTTTCAGCTGCATTGCAGCATGCCTTTGTGTTCCCTCATGTCTTTCCTTTCTCCGCTGTCAGAGATGGAGGAGGTGGTGATAGTGGTCCAGAGTCAGAGGAACTCCTACCACGCCCGGCGCTGTGGCCAGAAGAAGTCTGAGATTCAGCAGGCGGCAGCTAATCTGGGGCAGGTAATGTGTTGCATAAAAATGATTTAAGTTACACCAAATGAGATCAAGCCGCTGTATTATAATATTTGCTAGCTTTATCTTGCAGTGGTTTGTGAACATCCAGTGTTAACTAACAGCCTTTGCCTTGTTCTCGTTCCCACTGACTAGAGTGGGGATGGATTTGGAGCAGCGCTGGTGTCCTCAGACCTGGATAGTTTTCTGCAAAAGACTTAAGATAGACACTTATTTGCCAAAAGTATTTGCTCACTTGCCTTTCTCTGATTTCTGGTTCTTAAACCATATATTTCAGTATGACATTGGTCCTTTGCAAGTATAACGACTTCACCTCTTCTGGGAAGGCTGTCCTCGAGGTTTTGGAGTGTGTTTATGGGAATTTTTTAACCATTCTCCCAGAGGCACAGTTGTGAAGTCATACACTGATGTTGGACGAGAAGCCCTGGCTCTCAGTCCCCGCCCTCATTCACTTCTATCGGGTTGGGCTCAGGGCTCTATGCAGGCCAGTGGAGATCATCTACGCCAAACTCTTCCACATCTTTATGGACCTGCTTTGTGCACCGGTGCACAGTCATGTTCGTGTAGTCTGCGTGTGCTGGTGCGGGACTTTTGGCAATATAGAGTGCATCACTATTGATCCCATCACTGACCGTGTGGGAGAATTACTATGAAATGTTAGAAGTATGCTGAATTATGTCAGTGGAGGAGAACGGATCTGAAGTTCTCTAAGTAGAGTGTATGTCTAAGATTCACTGCTAATGAGAGGGCTATTTTTATTCTATTTCGTACTGCTATTTATAGACTTGCAGGGGTGATTGGCATCACTTCCAGACAGATTGTGATTGGTTTGCAATGCTGCTTTGCTTGCCGGCTTCATTGAGTAGAATAACCTTTTCCGTCATTTTTTTCTAACTGTCATGTTTGGTGTAAAGTCTCATGATGCTCCCTCTAAAATGATTCAAATCAAATAATATGAGACATGTTAAATGAAAAAGTACCTAATTTGATACCTTTTTAATATGAGGGTTGTGATTTACTGATCTTTATTATGTTTTTGAAGCAGAATTGTGGAAACAAAAGCCATGAAACCACAATTCACACTCCCCAAAAGGCGTTATCCTTCCCACAGACCCCATTTAGGGATCAAGATCGATGTATGCATAGCTGTGATATTATGTGGGTACCAATAGGTGTCATCCTTTCCATAGAGCCTCTCTTCATATCATCTGAAGGGAATGAACTTTTGGTTGTTTTACTAAATATACCTGCCAGGCTACAGTTGTTGTTGTTGTTGGAATTGTTTGGCTTTCCTGGCTAATGTTAGTTTTCCCTACCTGATTAGTTTAAGATGTGATTAATAGCAGATTATGGTTAAAACTGGAGCAGGATTTTTTATTTTTTCAGTGTGTTTTTATGCCCCATAATTTACCTGGTGAGAAACTAAACATATTTAGCTCTGTAGAAACTGGCCAAAGTTAAGGGAGGTGACGGAGGATAATGACAATTTTGTCTGAATTTGTGTCGCTGTTAGAGACCATTTGTCTGTCAGTTTATGTTCATATTGAAAACTTTATTTTTCATCATTCACATTTATTGCAGGATAAAAAATTAATAGGGTATTTAATATATGATGTGCTCTGTTTATCACCACCATTATCATACTGTGTGAATTCTATAACAAGAACTAAAAGAAAAAAAGTACATAGCAACATACAGTTGCCATTATTTTCCTCTCCGGGTGAGCAGTATTTCTTGGAGCTTTCCTGTATCGCAAGTATAAATAGGCTTGTGTACTTGCTTGTCAAGAGATGGAAAAGGAGGTGGTTACAAAATGTCATGTCATTTTTAAGCTGTGCCAAAATGCCTCACCCAATGTAGGAACAGGGACAATTCAAAGTCCGCTCCATAAAAGCTCAGTTTAATGTGACCTCAGTCAATAGTTAAGTTTTATTTGCTGTGTTTTTGTTGACAATAAAAAAAGACCAAAAAGAATTATGTTCCCAAGTCTGTTCAGAGCAGCTACTTGGATGCTGTCTGCACCTGATAAAATGGCAATGAAATGCAAACGATACTGCTAAGTTTATGTTTCATTAAATATTTTGTTATTTTTGTCACTACATGACATTCTCAGGCTACTTTAGTCCCACTTGCTTGCATGCACCATTCAATTGTTCTACATTTTAGTGCACCTCGGACAGCTTAATGTGCATTTAATACCATCAGTTTTGGTCTATAAGCAGTGGAGTTCATGTAATGAGCGAGTTCTTCTCAGGCTTGACTGGAGAGGCTTTAAAAAAAAAATGTATACACAGACCGACTTAATGTCTGTGCTCACATTGTCCCTTTAGCTTTTTGGCTGTCATGAATAGCTGCTGGGAAGAGATTTGTGACTTCTTGTCCCGAGGTGTGACCTTAAACAGCACCTTGTCCCAGCTACAATCAAAACCCCTCCCAGCGGGATGGGCAGAGATTCTTACTCAGAAGATGGATCTGGAAAACTGTCTGTCAGCGTCACTCCGGAGAGTTCCAGTTCACCTAAGATGTCATGCCATGCATTAAACATTTGCAAAGAGCTGTCATCATTTTTGGTTCTCTGCCCGTTTTTCTCTTCTTTTTTTAAGCAATGTGCACCTGAGTGTTAACATTGAGAACGTTAACATGCTTGTACTTTTCCAAATTTCAGAAGAAGTTTGGCTTGTTTGGCAGTTCCTGTACAAAGTTTTAGAGTTAGGTATACCGCTTTACCTTTATGTAGTGCAGTACCTTGTTCCAGATTAAACCAGGTGTCTTGTTTTAATCTCCAGACCTGAACAACAGGCCCCTGAGCACAGATGTGTGAAAGCTGTAATTATCAGGAGACCCATCCTGAAAGGGACAAACCACGCCGGATGCCATTGCTGGTTGACTTCAGTCTCCAGCTTTGTTACTTTTAGATCTTTTGTGTCATTACAAGTCTTTTAATGGGCTTTTTTTTTTTGGTTCAGTCATTTTCTCTCTGCTGCAAATAACTTATTGTGTTCTTTAACATCCAGCTTTGGGCATATTGTGCATTCTGGGGCTCTTATCTCAGCTAATGAATATCTGTCCAGTTGCCCCCCCCCCGGGGCACGGTAGTTGTGATGCAACAGTTGTATTTCTCAATTAAAAGTGTTTATGCACACAACAAAAAGATCATGTAATTGAAAAAAATTAGGAAAAACTTTAAAGACTTTTTTTGTGAAATTCTTCTACTGCTTTGCAATATCACACCAACTCTCAGCACAATCTGCAGAACTGCTGCTTTTACCATTGCCACCTCAAACAAAAATCTATTAACGCAACTTTTTTCACACTCTTCTGCAATAGTGTCCCCTAGTGGTGGAAATGATTTTTTAGAAGGGTGGGTATCAGACAGAAAAAAGTTCTTACTGTAGTTATGGGATAGCATATAGCACAATAATGTATCGTGTTATTTTTTTCTACCCAATTAATCCAGTTCTTTAGAGATTTTGAGCCAACTGAGACGTGTTAAAAATGAGGTTACACCATGAATATGTGACAAACCCGTTTAAGGGTACACATGCAACCACAAATCGATAAACGAGGACCTAAGCACAGACATTGAAGAGAAAGTAATCGATACATGGGTGCTCACACGTGGAGTTTGTACTCATCATGAATTCAGTGCATGAACAGAAAAGTTGGAAACAGATTTGAAATGAATCGCATTCTGTTTCATGCAGGGAGTTCCAGTTGTTGTCCTCCTCCATGAGCTCTCGGATTATGACGGTGACTGGAGTATACTTCCCGTGCTCCCACGGTGAGAGTTCAGAACAAATTCCAGAAGCTAGAAGTTAGTTTAGTCACGGTAATTTCCCCGTGGACAACATGCTAATAGATTTTGTGAATGTTTTTTTCTTTTTTTCAGCCTTTCAACATCTTATAGCCAGTCAGCATCCTGGTTTTTGTTCATAGAGGAAGAAACCTCAGTCACACTGCCTGCTTTGCTGCAGGTCTTAAATAGATATCCAGCCCAAGAGGTGAGACTCCCGCTCACTCACAGACACCCATTTATGAGCTACTCTTTACCTGTTTCTACATCTCCAGACGTGCGTTAAAAGCAACAATACAAGGAAAAGAAAGTGAGCGGCTTTCTTTCCCTTTTTGTTATTCGTAGGAATGGTTTTTGGGGAAGCGTCTCCATGACAACGAAGCCTCTATCATTCACCATTACGCCTTTTCTGAAGACCCCATCTCTTTTGGTTATCCTGATCCTGCAGCAGGCTGGGCTCTCAGTGCTCCGCTGCTCCACAGGTGTGACAGTGTGTGTGCTGAAATTGTCCCTCCTTTATACTTCTTCAGGCCCTTTTCCTTTTCTATTTCTGAAACTTATTATTTTGACAAATTAAATCATACAATGCAAGACAGTTTCTAGCATCTACATGTTTAATTGTACAACATCGTTGTACAACGTGTTAAAAGGGAATCCGTCAGCACTTTATATTTGTGTGTAACTTCATGAGTAAAGGCCATAACCGTTTCTTATATTCCAGTTTTTTGCTCTGGTTTTGTTTCTGTCAGACTGTCTGATCGAATCCAGCATGAGAGCCTCAAGTCAGACTTCACCATCGACCTCGCACACGAGGTACGTTTAACCATTTCCATTCAACAGCTGTTAAGAAACTTCCTCTTAGTGTTGGTACATTGCCAAAGGCCTGCCGAGATGAAGGACTTACAGCAGTGATAGACATCACCCCCCTGAAGGCTGACTTTGTCTGGAAAAGTCCTCTGAGTCTTTCAGCTTTTTACGCCGGGAGCTGCTGACAGGACTGTTATTATGTTATCATTGCCAAAAAATTAAGTGTGTAATTGTGTCTGCAATATGTGTGTGTTTTTGTGTGTGTGTGTGAGATTGCGCATGACTACAAATGGACCTTTTTGCAAAAAGGTATTAAAGTCTTCTCCCGAGCAGCACGCTCATTGTTAAATCACAGACGCTTGATCTCTGGTGAACCATGAAGAATTCCACATATAAAGCTTCAGCGGTGTAGTGTCCTCAGTTCATAAAAGTTTAATGAGTCTTTTTTTTTTTTAAAGGCCATATAACACACTTGTAAACGTGTTCCAGCGTCTTGTTGCACATATAAAATTAGTGACTATTAGCAAAAAACAAAGTTGAGCTGTTTGAACATTAATATAGGTTCTTCATGCTGTATTTAACTGAATGAAGGTAAGGATAAGGTTCTGCAAATCAGAGTTGTGTTTAGATTTATGTTTATGTCCAAAATTAAATCTTTTTTGAATTAGTTGATTTCCTCTCAGACTTATCGACAAACACCCACAGAACCTGTGGTTCCAGTCACTAAGTGTGGGAAATGTTCCAGACACCCAAAGCCTATATAGCCTCTAATACAGCCTCTAACCCAGACTTAATCCTCCTTGTATCTTACCTCAATCACTTCGAGTGCAGACTCACTTCAGAAATCATTTAATTTCTCTTTTTTTGAAAAATGAACCGGAACAAAGTCATGTGTTTGAAATGTATTTCACAAGTATTACATTTTGAGTTATGCCCCCTCTTGAAAGTCTCAAAATACTTAGAGAATGTGGGTGGAAGAAAGAGAGCATTTTTAAAATGAGTTAAAAAAAATCAGTGCATTAGTTTTGATTGAAGATGTTAAAATCTAATCCTGTTTTTTGGGTTTTTTTTTGCCTTTTAGTCCAAACAGCCTATATTTGTTTTTGTGTGTCTCTCTTTGTTTTAGATCTCTTTGTTCATTTGGGAGGAAGGAAATGGTCCAGAACTGACAGCAGTTCCAGAGTTTTGCACAGAGCTGAGGGACAACTGCGCCACTACATTTACAACATACCTGTATGACTGTGTATGTAAACAGCTAAGAAGAGGTTACTTTGCACATAATTTTGATTGAAAACCAGCTATTAGTGGCTGTGGAGATTAATACCTATAAATCTGATCTCTACTTGTGTGAAATGTGTCTTTTGCAACAAGGTTGTTGCGATAGCTTTTAGTTTTATGGTTAGCAGTTTTAAAAATGCAGTTATAAAAAAGTCCACTGGAGATTGATAGTTAGTGGTATCGTACTGCACAATTTGATGTGAAATTAGACAAGAAGATGAACTAAATCAGTATGTAAATCATCAGTTCATGCCAGTGCTTCAATATGCTAATGCCGATCCAAAGTACTGCATGATGTAAAAAATTCACCTGCCTTCTATACACGAGTATTGGCTATTTCATTTGCCACAGCCAACATTTATGTTACATTATTACCATTACATCTACTCACAAACCACCTAGCAAACTAAGCCCTGTGTGAACACAACTCACTAAGGTCCCTTTTCAGAATAGCAGAGATATTTAGCCAAAAGTCTGAAATGAATTCAGACATATCAATACCAATTGCAATGTCAGCAGAAAGAAGTTAACAGAAATGGGCATATAAGAGGTAAGGAAGATGAGTTAAACAGTTATAGGCATGACATTTTACCACCACTTTGTGAAAAACTTTCACAAACCACCCTTTAATACATTCATTACTTGCCTCGTTTCATAATCACTACAGCGATAGCTTCCAAATGCCTCTAGCCTCAATATATCTGAGAGCTGAGCCCATATACTAGATGTGTTTTACCCTTCAATTTTTGAGTTTGACTTATTATCACAAAGCAAAATTCAGGTCCGGCTCATCCTGCTTTTAAATTTTGATTGGAAAATAAGCAAAATCTGTCATAGAACTGTTTGATTTGCTTCCCTTTCCCTGGGCTAGAACAAAAGTTTAAAAGATTAAAATTGTGCACATGTATTTATGTAGTCTCTCTTGAAAACTGTGAGAAAAACAACTTGCTTTATTTAGCAGAATATTCATGACGAGCTTTTAATAGTCTCTGATTTCTTCCATTTACTGTGGCCGTCTACACATATTTAAATTCTTTTTGCATCTGCTGTGAAAAGACATTCTCATCTCTCTCTTTTTCAGGGGGATCCAGTGCCGAAGAGCAATGTGTTTGTTGCTGTGAAAACTTGTCAAAGGTTCCACTCGGAGCGAGGTTTGGGATTATTCAGTTTCTTAACGACTCACTGAGACGTTACTGGGATGACAGGTTAAAATTGTGACATGTTGGCAGAATGTGTGAAACAATAACAAAAAAAGGACATGGCAGGTTGAATAGTTGACACAAACAATTTATGGAAAAATATGGTTCTTCCCAGTCACCGTCCTTGGCATGCCTGGGATGTTTTGACAGACTGCTTTGCATGTAGGGCTTTGGCAGCTGAAGGACCTGCAGGCTGAATTTGTTCTAATTTCCAGGCAGAGTTCACCTCCTTTATATGTCCAGTAAATGTAAAATATAATATAGGAGTATAGTACAGTTCAGGAGCAATGTGTGGCTCACTATCCATTAGGTTTGAATGATTTCAGGTATCTCTTTAGAAAGATTTCACAAGCTGTAAGAGCTGCACAGAGAATTTATCAATTATTATTATACACGAAAGACCTTGAAGCTGTTTGGTAGCACTACATCAGAGGCTGTTACGCCATCATAATCCATATATATAGCCAACGTTTCCTGAACAATACCTCGTCTCAGACGGGCAGAAAAAAGAAAGGACATGTTTTGAAGTCTGAGGATTCCAAGACAGCAGGAGAAAAAGCTGTTGTCAGCTTCTTCGTGTCAAAGATGACAGACAGCTTGCTCGGGCATCATCAGAGGACGAGCCGGCACGCTTTTGTGACGCTGTCGAGGTGCCTCAGTGCTCTGGGCAAGGGGGACATTTCTGTGCAGATACCACTGATGCAGAGGCGTGCACCGAAATGTTTTTAATGACTATTCAACCATATATTGTCTAAGCAGGAACGTGCCAACCCTTACAATGCACAAATGCAGTCACATAAAAGCTGAAGTTGATAATATATTTTTTAGAAAGCATCCCAAAGTGGAGGCCGATGTAAATACGGATGTAAACACAGTTATTTGGACGTTTGGCTGGAAAAGTTTTACAACCAGCCTCTTAGTGGTCATTTCTCATTTGGCAGCCTAAGCAATCTGCTCGTTATTCAGTTCTCGTTAAACTGTCAGGTGGGAACTGCCTATTTAAATTCACAAGCTCATCTAAACTATCTGCTGCAGTTGCACCAGTTTGTGTAATTATCCAAAACACGGACGTCTGTTTTTAGGGTCAAAATGAGCCGGCCCTCCTGACGGACTGTTTCACAGTAATTAACATAACCAGACATGGAATGAAGAGTATATCATTAACTTGCCTGTGATTTAGCTTCAAATCAGGTCATTTGAATTGTATAGCAGGGTGTCACAGTGTATACTCACATTCAGCAGATTAGTTGATTATTTTGTTTTGTTACTGGTCATTATAATGTTGTTGTTTTTTGTGTATATTATGCTCATACACAGGCCAGCATGGAGTAAGGAGACACCCTTTTTTAACCCTCAGTTGCATCTGGGCATTTTTCACTTTAAACTGACCTCTGTTAATCTCCATTTTAAAGGCCATAGCTATATATTAGCTGGTATTATTGAGAGAGAATATCTTAAAATCACATTTTCTCCTCGCAATTCTGTCCCCTTCTTACCTTGCTTCCATTTCTTTTCAGTACCAGTGGTTAAGGCAACCTGGGAGAAAGATGCTGGACTTATAGAGTACTATAGCGATGCCACTGATGCGTCCATACCTACAATTAATCTAGGAGTGCCCAACACTGACAGAGGTGAGCTTCTAAACTGGATTTGCTGGACAAAGGTTACACAAGTAATTCAGCCAACATTCTGCAGAAGAATCAGTGTGAGGATGAAAGAGTACAGGGATACCAATAGAGACTGCATCCGTGATGACTGACAATGGGTGGATAATATCAAAGTTGCCGACCTTGATGTGCATTTTGAAAAAAGAAAGCCTTTACAGCACGTAGACATGATTACGTGCCATCCCTGTTGAAAACCTCTGAAAAAGAATGGGAGAGCAGCTCTGGAGAAAGGGCTGTGTGAGATTATTTGAGATGGCCAAGAGAAATCTCATAAAGGTCTTGCAGAGATCTGATTTTCTATAGTAACTGATAGTTTTATGATACACACTGTCATATAACATTTGACGACTTTGAACTTGCTCTGCTCGTAGTTCAGAAACTTGAAAAGTTGCATCAGTTGTTTTAACAAATGAGGAGAAATTGTTTTCGCTTTTTGCAGGAGATAAAAACGGGATGCAGCATTAGGTTTTCAGTGATATAATATAATATTATATACTATTATGGATATAAAATAAATGTAAGTAAAAAGGTTAAAAAAGCTGACCACTGACTCTGTCCGGTATATCAGAAAATGTCAGATTACTTTCTTTGCAAATTCCAAAAAGGCTTATTGTGAGGTTACCTACATTTCCTTTGATACTTATCAGTGTAATAGCCTGTCATAGACTTCAAATGTTTTTAGAGTTAACTTGACAAACAAAGTCACTTAAGGACACCAGGAATGAAAGCAAACAAACATAAACAGATTAAAAAGTCTTCACACCCGATCTGGATCAAACGGACAGTGAAGAAGCAAACTGCTGGAAAGCCTATGCAATGGGCACAGACAGCAGGATAGCTTGAGGAGAGAAGAGCTGAACGAATCAATCATGGAACACAAAAAACAGGCACTTTTTTCTCTGGAAGGTTCTTAATTGAGTGAAAAGAATCCCTGGTTTCGAAATGAGAGCCATAAGAAAAGCTGAGGAAAGGCGCCTCTAAGCTTTCTTTATGTTTTCCTTGAGCATAGTAAAGACCTTATGAGAAGAAAGGGAATGATTCTGTCCTTGAAACCACAGCCTTCAAAAGAAATTCTGACTTTGATTTGATTCTTCCTCCCGTCACACTATGTCAGGACGTCTGTCCCGTTTGATTTTCCCACCACACGTTCAACCTTTTTTTTTACCTCCACTTTCTTCTATTTGTGAAGAAGCTATCACCTGCTTGTAGCTGGCATTAATCTGATCACAAGTGGACAATTATTCTCTGCTCAGATTTAACCTTGCCAAAAAGGCAGTAACCATGGAGATCTCTCACACCCCTGTGATGGTTTCTGGCAGCAAAGCGTGCGCACAAAAGTCACGCCGAAGTGCAGCAACGCTCAGCGAACAGCGCTAACGGCTGCATTGGAATCCTGTTTGTAGTTATTTAATGTTGACTGAGCCAAAGGCATGGGAGGTACACCGGTAGTGGTTTGAGACACAGGAGGATACAGTAACTGGGAACACAGAGTGTGACCTTTTGACTCGGGCGCATCTTTGGGAACACCATCAAAATAAGAATTTAATAGATGGTTACTTTGAGTAAAATTTGAACCTCAACTTTGTGATAGAACTTGATCTGATTAAAGACATCCATGGCAAACGTTTCCGTTTGAATACCTGGAGATCAGTTATGTAACCGACAAGTGACAGGTTTCTAGTTCTAACGTACATTGCAAGCTGATAAGCAGTAGATGTAGACTAATTAAAAACGGCTTTGATCTGACACATTTTGCGCCATTCTCCTGTTGTTAAATCAATTTAAATGTCTGTGAGTGACAAGTTCTGACAGTAAGTGTGACGTGCATGCTGACACTGACAGAATGGGCTGAGTTGCAGATCTGTAATGTTCAACATTATTTAATTTACCACTCAGAATTGAAGTTAACATTCATGAAATGTGATCATTTGACTCAGAGTATATGACATTAGCATTCTGAAATGCTCCTAGGATGTGGGAAACACTTGAGTAGTGTGGCAATTAGACGTTTTAGTGTAGACAGAGTAGGGTTTGCGCTTTTAACTAAAATGCACATCAAAGGTCAGGGGAGCAATTATCACCATGCCAGAAAATGATCTCTAGACAGTTTCACGCTGTTATTATTTTTGTACAGGTATTCCTGTTTGCCCGCAGCACAAAAGGGAGTAGTGGCAAAATAAGTCCTGCACGATATCAAATGTTGCGTTTGATATGGTTTTACACAGTGTGACCTTCATGTTATTTGAACATGATCCCAAACCATTTCGGTTCAAATTTCTAAACACTAGTGAAACTTTCATGGTGGAATCAGGAGGTTCTCATACATAGAAAAACATTACCGTGTGGGGATTTTTGAGCTGTCACTTTTAGTGTAATTTAACACTTGTGTTGTGTTTACAGTAAATCTGTTGTCTCTTATTGGTGAATTGCTTACAGAGTATTGCATCTCAGATGATACAGCATTTCGAAGTCAAGCTGGAGGAAAATGTTCTGTCAATGAATTATGTTTCTAAGTTCATCGATAGAGTTTAATCTTATTTTCAATACTGCTTTTTCTAAATTGCCACAACACAAAAAGATATCACTACATTTTCACAGAGTAATTTTTTAAATGTCTAAGCGGAGTCAAAGTGTCGCTGGAGGCAAACAGTTGCGAGAGGCAGGGACCAATTTGCATAGTCATAGCGCCATGCATACAAAGCGAGGCAAAGTTGTGAACTTGTAACTTAGTCACATCAAAGCAGTAGCAGAAACATCCTCTACGCATTCCCGATGAACACAGATCCAAAGGTTGATAACGTGGTACGTTTGTGATCAGAAGAATTAGCTTAGCTTCATGTTCGCCACTGTTTTTGTCTCTGTGTTCTCTCAAGGCCACTGCGGGAAGACATTTGCTATCTTGAAGCATTTTCTGAGCAAAGCGGTGCCAGAGGTCGACTGGCTGCTCATTGTTGATGACGATACACTCATTAGGTAACCCAAAGGCTTTTTCTCTCTAAAGAAAGTTCCAATTAATAATATAACTGGCTTGTATGGTCAGTCTTACTGGACCACTCCAGTTTAAGAAATCTTCATACTGTCAAAGGTCACTATAAAAACTTTCTGCCTTCACGGTCACTGATTCTATAAAGTCATTTTATGCCAAACACATTTACAGATGGCTGTGAACTTAATTATTTTAAGTATTATGTTTGATCATCTATTTTCAATCCTTTGACCATAATATCTCATTTCTATTTCTAAAATAATTAAAATGTAACTACATATTTCATTACATTATTCAAATACTCTGTGCATTAACTATGGAAAATACCATAAGCTGTTTGTTTATATGGTATTTTCATAAAAAAAAGGTAATTATCTCTTTTTGCCATACCTGTGGGGATAAAAAAAAAAACTCCATGTCTTAAATGTTTTTTTTAATTAAAATGTAACGCACCCAGATGTTTTCACTTAATTGGTAATCAAAATGCTGTGGAGGTCCATACGGGCATGACTGACTGACAGCTGCAAGTGATTTCAGCTCATAAAACTCACACCGTATCGGGAATTTTAATCAGACTACAAAAAAGACTATAAAATCTTACAAGGAAAACACATGAATGGATGAGTCATGTCTCATTTGTGCCTTCATAGAATGGGAATGTGTTCACCTCATCTTCTATCTCCCCCCCCCCCTTATGGCTGCCCGTGTCCAGCTTGCCCCGGTTGAGGCGATTGCTGCGCTGCTACGACCCAAAGGAAGCCGTGAACCTGGGGGAGAGATATGGTTATGGCTTGATTCAGAATGGATACAGCTACATCACAGGAGGAGGAGGGTGAGGCAATGTGTTGGTATGAATGTATATTTAAACATTTTGTTTTAACATAAAGAAAAATATTAATTATTCTCCATTATTTAATGTTTTCTCCGTTTTTTTCTTTGTTTTACCAATAGGTATTAATAATAGAGCTCTAATTTCCCACATGACCTGCTGGACAATGATTAGAAAGCTTGAATTTAACAGTTGACGCCATAGTTATTCACTGAAAAGATGTCAAAGGGTTTTTTCTAGGAAGTGATGGATGCCTCTGGCATTTTTAGGTTATAAGAGGTACTACCTCAGTGAAGCATCCCTGTGGAGTCCTTAGAATATGCTCCTCATTGCTGTCTGTTCATTTTTCACAAAACTTCAAGTTTTGGTCAAAGTTAAGTAGAATATTTTCAATTATGGCCACACAGACTTGAGAGCAGGAAATATTCATATAAAAAAGAGTAAAATATTGTAGGGATAATTTGGAAAGTGACAATTTTCTACAAAATTTGGAATCAAGTTTTAGGGAGATTAACACTCAGGCAAGATGACCCTAACTCGGGTAAATTTAAAAAAGGGATTCACAGGCTCCCAAAAAACAAAGGCATGTGCGGAGAAAAACAAAAGGCTGGAGGTTACATAGGGTAGTTATGTACAGACAGAAGACACATGCCAAGAAAACAACAAAGGGAGGGAGGATGAATGGCAAAGATGAACAAAAACATGGGCCTAAACTCAAATTTGAAAGCAATAAGGAAATCTCATAGGAAGCTGGACAAAGACACAATAAAAAGTAATACAGGAAGCAAAAACAAGAAGTGACCAAGGGGAGCCAAAAGTTTTCATTAAAACTCACAATCTTCTATTGTGGGAAAATGAGTTTTTCTTGGCGCAAACTAAACAATCTGTGCGTGCCTGTGCAAACAGGATGGTGCTCAGCAGGGCGGCGGTGTCCAGGCTCCTGTCCAGCAGCTGCAGCTGCTACAGCCACGACGCCCCTGATGACATGGTGCTGGGCAGGTGCTTCACTTCCCTCGGTGTTCCCCTCACGCACAGTCCACTGTTTCACCAGGTAGGCAAAAAACACAGGTGCACCTTCCTCATGTGTTTCTGGTCAGTGCCGGTCATGTACCGGCAGCTCAGTGAGCCCCAGTCATTCAGCTGTGGATGAAGCTTTTTTAGTGTTTGCTTTCTCTCAGTCCTAAAGTAGCACTCACCCTTGATATGTATTAAGACCATGGCAAAAGTTCGAAGGACAGTGCAACCTAATGGCCTACAACAAACTGCCTGAAGATTCGGAAATCTCTCAGACATTAGTCATTTTGCCAGTATTGGGACACACAACTGAAAGGCTTGTTCTTGGCATTTTAGGCCCAGCCGGACGACTACTCTGAGAGGCTGAAGTCCTTGCGGCCGGGCATCTCCTTCCACAAGCACTGGAGCGTAGATCCTGTGGTCGTCTACAGACGCTGGCTGCAGGACGCAGATTCCCGGGATGAACTGTAGAGAGATCAAGAGGATTCAGTAAGTATGTTGAAAATGAGCTGGACCCCAGTTTGCAAACACATAGCAGAGATGACTGATTGTTACTGGTAGTCAGAGTTTTCGTTCAAATTTTGAATCTTTAAATATCTTCCACCTTTTTTCTCCTCCATCTGCTTCACCTGTGACACTCGTGACCCGTTTTATGCCACCCTTGTCCTGGTTTTGGACTGATCAAATACGTCACCAGTTGATTTTGGTCTGGGGCAGGTAAGCAGCTGAATCTTGAGTCCTTAGGACAGACATCTGAGCCAAGAACCCTCCCCGCCCAAAAAGCCTCCACCTATCATCCCTCTACACCATCAGATTGTTTGGTCATTATACTAAATCGACTACTTGTTAGAAGCATACATTTAACTGGGGCCTGTGGGGTTCTAATGGGATGCTTGATATGTCTGAACTTAACATTCCAAGGAGTGGAATTTTTCAAATGATTTTATTCCTGTTTATGAGGTTTGTATTTTTCAATATATTGTGGCTCTTGTATTGTTTACTATATTTGTCCTATTCTAATAATTCTGCTGATATTCATTCAGGAACTGCCATTAAAATAGTAATGACTGATATCTGGACACATTTCAGGCAGTGTATATGTAGTTTTTATAGAAAAATTTGTTTTGTGTTTTGATATTATCGTATGTGGTTATTTGACCTCTTTAAGCACTGTTGAGTTGCTACTGTCAGAAATGTCAAAACCCCTTCACTCAAGCCATGCATTATCAGTATGACTTTTAACTCCATCTCTAAAGATTTCTTCTTCATCTTTATTATCTCAATTCAAAGGAATCTTTTAAGAAACGTATTTTTGATGTCGAGAGTACAAGGACGCTTTTCAAAGAGAATTTCATTTAAAGTTAGTCTTTTTGAAAGTTTGTGTTTCTCATTGCTCCAGAACTGTAACCAACATTGTGTCTTTTAGCTATTTTGATTGACGTTGACAATATATTTAATCTATTAAATGTAACATTTTTTGTGTCAACCATCAAATATTGAAGTTATAGATGTAAGCCTAAAATTATAGTCTTTATCAGGGCAAAAATTTCTGATAATAGATCTAACAATGGCAGTATTTGTTTTCAAATAGGTTCGTATGAACCAAAAACCTGGTCCGCACTGGTTTTATTACAGAGAAACTTCTGTTAAGTGACAAGGTCCTGAAACATCAAAAATTCTTTGAGTATAATGTTTTGGGGGAATATGCATTCAAAGAATGTGTAATGAAGAACAGGAATACTTTGTGTATTTTCTTCTGTCTTTAAATTTTTTTTGGTGCCTCTGAAATTAAAGTAAAAACAAATGGCTTTAAAAAAATCAGAATCTCCTTTCATTTCTTGTAAAGTTTTAATGCTGTCTCTAATTTGAATGATGATGATTTTGTTTTTGGCTCTTTTTTGTGTCTGGCTGTACAGATTGATCAGCCGAGCTCACTGCAGAGCCCTGGGAGGTCCTTTTGGACAGTTTTAAATGCTTGAGATTTATTTCTGGCGTTTATTTCACCCACATCATTATATCTACTGAGATTGACAGCTGAGCCTAATAAACCTCGCTAGGCAAGCTGACGAGTGGATATATCATCCCCCATGTATCTTGTGGCCAAATAACACAAATTGCTTTGCTTGGTGTTGTATTTAATGTGCTGCACAACCAGTTTCTTTAAGCATTTTATCAGGAAAATTAGTTTCTAAATGCAGATTATTACATAAACTGCATACTGAAAACATTTTAGGTACAGAGCTGTTTTTTTGGTGTCTCGTAGAGAAGATTCCCAGAGGGATATGTAAAAAACTGTCTCTTGTCAGGTTTTTTTTGTAAATAGCTAGGGATGTCATTGGCATTTTAGCCTCACACATGTTTGGGGCACTGCTGTTTTGGTAGCTTGTAATGCTCACTTTGCCAGCCATGCTTCTGCAGTTATTTTGGACCACTTTGCCGTCTGTTTGGATTTCTCTTCTTTCTCTGTTTGATGCCGATGCTTGGCCATGCCAACTAGGTCTTGCTTGCAATCCTATCACCTTACTCTGGATTTAAATGAATCTTTTCAGGTATTCTGGGTGGAATGGATTTTAGTTATTTGTGGTCGTTGCATCATTGTCATATGTTAATACCTGCCAGTCTGCAAACGTAGTCTTTTTACAATAAGCTGATGGATGATTCCAAAATGAGGATGTAGGAAGGGTTTGTTGCAGCTGGGAATATTTGCACCATCTTGTCCACAGTATTTATTCCCCTCATAGTGCGGGATCATTCTTTTCCCCCAATTTTACGTAAAGATATGTTAAATATCCAAGTGAGGCACCATCTCTGTAACATTATCAGGTACAGTGAAGTAGAGATAGACATGCTGGGAATACAACCCCAGGATGATGTTACTTTAGATGAGCCTCAGCTCAGCCCGTTCTCTCGGCATTTCTGTTATTTCTCTTGGCTTGTCAAACTCTTTGAGGCCACATGTATTTTACTTCTGTGTCACTATGACATCAGTTGCCATAGCAATAGAGATATTGAATGCCCAGAATGTACATTGGTAACGTTAATATCATTCATGGTACCTCTGGCTCTAATACACATTCGGATGTAATAGCTAGCACAATAGTTTGTAATAATAGATTGAAGAGGTGTGCTCAGAAGTCTGTAAACACAAAAGGTACTCTTAGGAATGATGCATACTTTACTCGGCTGTAAAAAGTTACATTTTCACCTCAGAATTTGGCTGCTGTCATACCATTCCACACCAAAAAGCTGACTCTGTCAAGCATTAGCGCATGCCATATGTTCCTCATATTTCTAACTTAATTTCAGACTCCCTTCAGGTTAACCCTCAGTTTCTCATCCTCATGAAGTAAGTCAAAATTTATGTTTCTAATAAAGAAGACAACATGGATCACAACCAAGACCTGTGCCAAAACTGCAATCTGTGAAAGGTTTTGAAGAACTCAGTAAATCCTGAAAAGATTTTAGTGAAAATATTTGCCAACATTTACTTTGTCAGTTTAACAGTAGAATTTCACATGCCATCAATTCAAAGGCGGCTTGTGAAACTATGTTCAAGCCGCACACTGTGGATGGAGGCATGACTCAGTCTGCAGGAGGACAAAGAAATTAGAAACACAGCCAACTTGTCCTCATCTGTTGAAGAAGTGCAGGACTATTTTATGTGGAAATGGAAATAGTTTGGAAATAGTTTCCCCATGTGGCATCTAGATGGAGGTCAAGTGCAGCTGGTGCAGAGAGGGAGCTCATGTCTTTCTTCACCGTATGTTTGTCATGTTTTGTTATGGATGAAAAAATAATGTTTAGCAGATTTGAAAGTCCTATAATTTTTTTTACAGAACTTGCGTGTTTTGTCCTCTGCTCTGCTTTAGTTGTACTTTTTGAAGCTCCCATGACAATCTCGGTTAAGATAGGTCAATTTTCTGTGATATTTGTTTTCTTTTTTATGCGCGGTGGAGCATGATCCATGTTGTTTGAGCATGAAACCAGCCACCGGACTAACCTGTCTGCTCAGGGGGTGTTTTATGGAAGGGGCACCAACTGCAGAAGCTCCTGTTTAAACCAACTACTTTACATGAAGAGGTCAGCCACTTTGATCTTGGAAGTTGGACTTTGTGTACACACCAGAGACATTGACAACCCTCTATTTTTTTCTACAAAGAGTTGCTCTGCAGCATATTCTCAGCGGCACAATACATTTGCAATCTCCACGGAGGAGCATTTGTATTTTGTATTAAACGATCTAAAGAGATTTTGTCTCGCTTTCTCTTGCAGCACTGGCCTGTGTGTCGCAACGAGGGACCATCAGTCACTTTCATGGCCTAGTTTAAAGGGAAAAAATAAGAAAGTTGTATAAATGATTCATTAGGTGCTGAGGCTGCTACAGATGAGTGTGGGCTTGAACCACTTTCAAACAATGAAGACAGCTGCTGTTTGAAAAATCTCTTTTCTTTCTCAACACTGATGAAAGAGTTTGATGTACAGCAGACAAATAAGTCACCTTACTCAAAGAGCACACTGATAACAACAGAAATATGAATCTGCTATCTGACTGATGAAGGTGTACCTCTCAATTCCCATCTTACTTTATGACCGCATGGCACGGCTGTTGATGATAAGATTTGTTTAACATTTACGAATGGATTGTTCCTTTTAGAAGGTTTAATTGGTGCTAATAAAGCTTACATTGCATTCGCTTCATATTGACTTACTTCGGGTCATTTTTGTTGGGTCCTTATTTAGTCGTATTAAAATGTGTCAGAAAATTAAAGTTAATGTAGGGATGAAGTGTTTTCAAAATTGAAAAACACATTCCCTTAGATCTTAATTAGATATCTGACTCTTATTTTGTACTCACTTCCAGAGTTCGTGCCTCGCCAAGGAGCTCACACCTAAAAAAAAAACAAACCAAGCACAATCACTCACCAAGATGATAAAAAACACTTCAGAGGCATTTTTATTTTCAAATAAATTTCTGGATCCTCAATATGATTTAATCCTAATCCAAGATGTGCCAAAGATGCCCAATAGACACAGTCTCCAAGCAGGCAAAACAAGTCAGACGACCATACAATTTCTGAACATTTTCTCGATTCACTGATCCATTGCAAGCTCCACAAACTTTTCTCCAAACTTTGCCTGCTACTTTTCTTGTTGAAAAAATCACGCCCACACAGGTGTATGCTGGTCCTATCCCCGCCTACCTGCTTATAGGTGCTGAAGCCACAGGGGTTTCTAGCCTCATGAAAATAACCTCGGAGTAGATTTTTAATTTTCTCAAAATAATTACCTTATGCATTTCAATCACTAACAGAAATGCAAAAACAAAGCAAATGGAGAAGCTTCCCCTACACATATGAAAATGCTGTGATGGAACGTCTGTGCCGAGTATGGGTCCCAAAGTCCCTGAGTTAAATGGGAGATGCCTCCAAAGGTGGTGAAGACTGACAGAGCTGAGATTCCTGTGGGGCTTCAAGATCCAGACAGCTAAGAAGGTGATGGCTGACCACTCAAACACTGTGTTGGTAGAGAAGAGGGAAGTGAGGATATATGCAGCAAATTTAAGCGATGGCAACATCAGGAAGAAAGAACGTGAGAATTTGGAAAAATAGCAGTGTAATTGCACAGCGTTGGTGTAAAGAATTGCATTAAAAAGTTATGTGCTGTGGTTTACTTTAGTATGGCATTTTACCCACGTTCACATTCTCTGTTTACTCCCCAGCTCTGTAAATTTGAAACCATGAATAGTAATTTATACAAATTGTTCATTTGTGGAAGTCTCAGGAAAGTTGAATTATTTAAAGGGGAACGCGATTACAGCTCGGCTTTTTCACTCCCCTGGCGATGCCTCTCTCTTTATACCTCTACATCATGCATTTTCCTTAACTTTGGGTCACTCGTTATTTCAGTCTCTCTACTCTGACTCTCTCCGGTAGTCAAGAGTGTTTCATGAGAAGGAAAACACACACAGACATATTACAAGCTGTCCTCCGAAGCTGAATCAGTCTCCATACCATATCTCCGTACCATAAAAAGGAGCAGATTCAGTCCACACCAAGCCAGGGAAATCATCACATCATTGGTATCTAAATTGAATAAAACCTTT